GCTGGATAAAATGCGACTTGCCCGTTCAGACTGCAGACGCTTTGGAAACAATCAGAACGTGGATCCGAATTAGAAACTGCATGTGGAAGGGGCACAGATCGGATTCGTTTAAGATCGGAATCGGGTCGTTCAGATTCCACAACATCATTGCAGTAGCGACGTTCTCGAAAAGCCCCATCATGTCCGACATAAGAGGTTTCACAACCGGGCAACAGCAGCTCAGCCTAATGCTTCACAGTTTTCTCAGCAGTGCATGCTCACCGTCATCGCAATTGCACAATAACGATGAAGATCTTCTGCTTGTCATTAAGTTACATAACGCAGTTAATTCCTCTAATTACTCCCACATCAGCTCAGAATGACTTTCACTTCACTGCACGGCGTCAAAGTGCTGCAGGGCAGCCGCAGGCGTCGTCATGACGTTTATTTCCTTCAAACCGTGGCGCTTGAGCCGACGCGTTGAGCTGGAATGTAAAGTCACGCGACTCACCGGGGAGATTGCTAATGAGAGGCCGAGCAGGGTGCGTTTAGAGAAACGAGGACGTCACAGTGAGCAGCGGGAGAGGAGAGAACAGGGGAAAGGTCTGCAGCCTGCAGCAGGATGTCGGCTGATGGAAGATGAAGTGGCAGGTGTGATTTCAACAGATGTCCATTTAGTGAGCAGCAGGACATGTAGATCTGCACCACCGGAACACTTCTGCATTTGTCATGTTGCATCCAGAAACAACATTGCTTTATGAACTTTTTTTTTTTAGCTTGTTTGTACGACAGATCAACACAACCGGACAGGGTTAGTGGTTTGAGAAATCATTATTAATCATTGCATTATGAGAGTCACAAAGTGTGTTATGTATGCATTATTTAAATGCTTTGCAATCTCAAATTTCTGAATCTGAGGAAATTGTTAGCAGCCTCTCCAACAGCATTGTCGTTCTGAGATCACGTGAACAGAACTGACTTAAAACAGGATCAGCTTTGTTTGCTTTTATGTCAGACATTCTGGGGAGGAAAAAAGTTGTTTTTTCTATGTACAGTGTGTGTAAATATTTTGTTTCTGCTGCATTTTTGAGTCAAGGGAGACTGAGCTCTGGGCACAAACCAGGTCGTGACCTTTCACAGACTCACAGGTTTAAATGTGTCACAGCTGCAGAGGAGAATAATGGAGGGAGCGGGGTGTGTGTGCGTATGTGTGTGTGTGTGTGTGTATGAGGGGGGTGCACTCTCTACTAACTTGACTTTGTGTTTCCTAACTCCCTTCGGGGCTTTTCGAGGCTCCTGCTGATTTATTTAGTCAAACAGGTGCTACCTTCAGTGACTTGAATCTAATGATGCAACACAAGAGGCTCTGACAGAAAACATGGCGCCTCAAGCGGATTTAATTTGCCCACCTGAGCTGTTCAATAACGGCATTTGATGGCCGGGAGTCTGCAGCTCGTTCAGTGCATCTGCATATTTATGGCAATAAAGCGGTTTCCATTTCATGCCTGTGTGACCTCAGAGTTTCTCCGCTCGGTAATCCGAGTGCACGGCTCCGCCGCGTTAGCGTAACCCCACGGCCTCCCGTTTGATTTATGAACGCTGACCCCCTCTTCCAGCGTGACAGCGGCTCCGCCTGTAACCGTATAATGGCCCATTACTGCCCGCACAACTGGACACTTACATTCACATCAGCTTTTATTCCCTCCAGCTGCTCGGCGTAAAATAAGTAATGATAGGTTTTATCTGGAATGCGCAATGTTGCACCATAGATGATGTAAATGTACCTGTTATGGTTTTAAATGTATCACATGGAGGTTTGATCAGGCCCAACCTCTAAGAGATGGTTTAATACTGAAACCATTTTTTAAAATTTTTATTTATTTTTTGGTGGAATTCACATTAATTCATCTTGGTGTAATTCACTTGATAAGCACTGAATATTTAAGTAATTCAAGAAATTACATTTAAAGTAAATAAAAGTACTTGTCAGCTTTTCAAAATGTTGAATATTTACTCATACAATTGTGGGGAGGCAATTTCCCTTAAATTTTAGGAAATTTAAGGAAATTTAAGGAAACTTTAAAACATGGAAGGGATAGCTCTTCTCCTTGGGAACCAGAAATTAGGAGCTAAATGAAAAACTTCATGTGCAGCTGGGCTTTAGTTGAGATGCTCGCTTTCCACTAAATGTCACTTTTTATGCCATTATTCGTTCGAAAGAAAAGTACTTTAAATGATGCTAATTTCAGGATATTTTCGTAAAATGATTGGAACGTCTCGAAAACTGTGAGAAAATTTGTTCTCTGGACCGAATGAACGATTTAGTCTCAGAATCGGCCAAGATAAACCTGTGGTGTCATTGACACAGTCATGAGTTATTCAGCCTAATAATTTTCTTAACACGAGAAATAAGAACGTTCTGAGGAGATCCCCGCTTTTCAGACAGCAACACAAAACAGAGGCGAAAAATAAATTACTTTGAGTGAAAAAAGAACAAAAACAGATCAAGTAATAATTGCACCAATCTGAATTTTATCGGCACTTTTCCAATTGTCCAGATCAAACAAGACAAACTTCATTTGTGTCCAATTTATAAAGAATTTATTTAAATTCTATAATCAACAACAGTACTCAGCAGCTTCCTTGCTAAAAGCAACCAGTTATTTAAATATACTTATTTATTTAGAGGCAACTTCCAGCCACGTAAGAGTTACGTTCAATTAAAGCTATTTGGATGGTGCATTTGAAACTTCAAACGAGACCCCTGCCTCACGCAGCTGGACCTGACTGCACATCCCTGGTACAAGGCATCAAATGATCAGAAGGAGGTCAGACTGGCTGCTCACGCAGAAAACCGTCGCAATTTCGTAGGCCGGAGATTCCTCAAAAGTGTTTGAAGCTGCACACACAGCGCTAAAACTGTGACTGCAGAAGTTAAAATGCACTAACTGAATATTTAAATATGAAAAATTTCCTCTAATTCTAGTGCAATGGCATCCATAAACATAGCAGCAGCGCACAGCTCGGGATTGGACCTCCAAACACATTGCATCACATGCAGCATCATGACACAATAGGTCAAAGGTGCAACTTATAAATCAGGCAAAAGAGCTGAACATCTTTCTCAGATATCCGCGACCTCTGCCGTCACCTCCTGTAGCAGTCGTTTGTCTGATGCCACGACGCCAGCAGGGCGGCCTGCCAGTTGACTGATCAGATATCCTCACCGTCAGCCCCGTCAGTTTGTCTTCCCAACCAGGTGGCACATGTAACCACTTAGTCAAATCAGTCGGGCAGCCTGTCCTCTGCCTGCTCAGACAGTCAGGGCTGTGACAGTCAAACGTGGCGTGAATGAGTTGAAAGCCAGGGCACAGCTGGCATCCTACACATCTTGTTGTGTCGCTTTAATTCCTCCTGCCGGTGCGTCAGACTAAATCTTACCCCTAATTGACAGAGTAGAGGATGTTTTGTGCCAGGATGCAAGAGAGAGAGACAGAGAGAGAGAGATGCATTCAAACATTCATGTCTGCCTCCGTTCAGAGTTCTGCAGTGCTGAGCTAATGATGTGGTGGCAAGCAGAATGCTTGGCGGAATGTCAAATATTTAAAAGCAGCACGCACGAATTCATCTACAATCTCAGAAACATTCGGAAGATATTTTCAATTATCAGCCGTTTCTCACCGATTGAAACTACATTGGATTGAAGCAATGAGGCTTCTGTAATATCACTCCGAGGCTCAGTTGTCAGGTGTTTGAATAACACCTAGAGCCAATTTGCACACTGTGCTTCTTAATGTAAGACACGTCTGAGCAGGTGAGATGGAAGGTCAGGGAACATCCTTCAGGCTGAATATAAATCAGGGAGAGATGGAAACGAGTATGCACGGGAGAAGAAGAAATGTTTCATTTGCTGTCAAATGTTAGAAGCAGACAAGTAGACATCATCCAGCTCAACTGACGTCAGCTTACTGTAATCTGTTAGCGCCTTACGATTAATTGGCGCCACCTGTTTGACATGGTGTGGAGATGTTGTCTTTAATATAACAGCTGAAAAGATGGCAAATTAAAAACATTTTAACGTCATTTTATGCTCATTATGCAAACACGGAAATCTAGGAATGTCAGCGGCTGATGAATTTTAACACGGTGTTTAACACATATTCAGATCTTTAACAGAAGATCCCAAACCTCCACCAAGCATGGAGAGAATCTTCTGTGAAATAGACTTGAAAGAAAACCCTACACTTATGCATCTGATTTGGACCGAGATAAATAAGTGTTTGATTATGTAGCTGACGACTTGAAAAACTGTTTTTATCTATATTGTCTGGTGAAACTTGTTCTTTCCGTCTGGCGTTTTTGGGCTCGAGCTCATCTGCACTGCCAAAGACATTCCACATCTTTGTGTCTCTTACATTCCTTGGTTTGGTATTAGAAAACTACAGTTTTCTCTCAAAAAATGCAGAGAAATAAACAAAATTTCTGGAAGTTCTGTTTCAGGCATCCAAAGTCAAACCCATCTATGACAACTTGTCTGATCAACTATCTATACTTTGTTTTATATCCCTTATATTTTTTTCACCCTTATGATTATTTTTCAAAGACAAAAAAGAAATTCTTCAACCATTATACTTTCATGCTGCTCCATTATTCTTTACATTTTATGAGAAGGAAAATGGCAGTCAGTCTCTTCTTCAGAGGGTTTTGTGTCACTTCGTTCAGTGAATCTTGGTGCAGCACAACCATTGTGCCGACTCACAGCCATCCTAACTCATCAATAGCTTTTGTGCACAAGGTGAACAGGTTTTTCAAAGGGCTTAGTTAATGTGAAACAGTGCAGTGTGAAAGCTAACCGGACCAAATGAAAATGTAACAAATGTTGCAGATTTATGTGAGAACCTGTTAGTGCAGGTTTTCACACCTGAAGACAATTTGCAAATGGAAAAAAAAAAATAAACACCTCAAAATATATTTTATATGCTCACCCAACAAAAATCCAGTCATTGACACGCCAGACGGACAAATGTGTAAACCATATTTCTTTATTAAAGATTAAGAAACTCCAAGCAGCATATTCATAAATAAAATAAGGATTTCCCACAGAGATGGACTCGTGACAGACGATCAGCGTTAACAGTTCGTGTCATCATCTCGATTCAGGGCGCTGGAGTTTGAACATAAAATCCACCTCTGCGTATCTGACCAACCGTAACCTCAGGGTCTCCACTCAGTCAGGACGTGAAGCACAGATTGGAAAGCAAACCGAAACACAAGATCAACTACTGACACCCATAGAAAACATCAATGTAGAGTCTGTTTGGACGGGAGTTGAAGTCCTTCTGGCGGATAAAAACACGTGGATCCACTTTGACGGATCCACTTTAGCACAGTGATATGCATCGTACACGTTCTGCCCTTGCAAATGAAGAAGTACTCACTTTTCTAATATTTGAAAATATTCATGGATATCTAATCGGCACAAAATATAACGAAATGAGTAAAAAGCTGAACATGATGAATCCCCCAATTTTTACGTGCTTCTGCAACTCATCACAATCTGAGTTCAAAGAAGAGATGATAAGATAATGATAAAACTAAAATCTTATTTTAGTTCTAAATCACCACAATAACCCTCGATTAATTTCAGTTACATTCGTACTACGAGGTTATCAGACTGTAATATGACATGTTTTCCGGCACATAAATTTCTCATTTGCTCCTTGTCACACCTTAAAATTAGATTGATACCACTTCAGATTAACAACACATTAGGTAATTTCATAATTATTTAGAAAACAAACCAGATCATTAAAGCACTGTGTGGAAGCTCTGTGTTCACTCTGACTTAACAGTTTACAGAATCATTTTAGACACCAATAACTTTGATTTTCTGTCTGATTTGTGCCCCACTCTTCTTTTGTGCTTAGTCGACCTCTCTAAACCTCCCACAATTATGTTTCAAACAGGTTGAGGTCTAGACTTTGACTGAGCCACAGCAACACCTCTCTATTCTTGTGTTTTGGCCATTCTGTTTTGTTTTGTCTTTGGCATGATTAACATGCCAAACATGTTAATCATGTTTGGTCATCATGATCCAAACATGTTGACCATGTTTGGATCAGGCTTCACCTGACAGACAGATGGCCTTACATCTGACTCTAGAACACACTGGTGCACAGCAGAGTTCATGGTTCAGCCATCAACTGTGAAGTGCTGAAGGCCTGTGGCTGTAAGAGAAGTCCCACATCCTGTCTGCCACAGTGCTGTTATGCAGTGGTTTGTTTCCTCTAGAGATGGTGAAGTGAGTTACAGTGAAACATCTCTACTTTGGCCTTCTCTGCTCAAAGGAAAGTTGCAGATAGGTCTTCAACCGTTCAACACAAGCCTCAATTCCTTGATGTTTGTTCTTGGGAACATGGCCGATTGTTCAAATGTTCTCTATTTAGGAATAATGTCTCTCTTAGTAGAATGATGGAATTCAATATTTGTAGTTGTGACCTAAATTACACCTGAGTCTACTCCATCGCAGAGTCTGCGAGACGTAAACGTTTTGCTCAGGTCGGGTGTGGGTCTCTGAATAATCCCAGCCAAGTTGCACCCAGATTGTGAGAAGAATGTGGCAGATGAAATGGAAGAAAAAAGACGACAAGGACTTAAAGCTTCTTTTAGAGAGATACAGTGAAGACAGATCTGGTATTTTCCCTGTGTGAATAATTTAACTTTCAGGGACACCAAGGATACAAAAATCTGCTTTGATATCCTAGTGAGAAATCCCTTGATTCTTCTTTTTTCTCGGTAGTTCAGCTTCCTAAGCTTTCTTCTAAATGTGTTGACAACCCCTAGGAAAACAATCATCAAACTTGCAAAGTTTCCACCAGTAGTTTGAAGTTTTACAGAATATACTGAACTGGGGCGAGGCAGGAGTTCATTATAGTTTAAATAAGAGGATGGGCTTGTCTGGGAGGCTCAAGTGGCTCATGTACAAAAGGAGATACGTTGGTGATTAAAAGTATTTTCTTTTCAAATTGTGAGTCATCATCAGCAGTACCTTTACACCACCTCGCTTGTTTTCCTAAACACATTTCTGAAACAGTTTGTTTTGCATTCATCTCAATATTACCACACTAGTTCTGATTTGTGAACACGTATGGTTTGAAGTGCATGCTATCTTACTTTTTTATGATGGCATCTTGACCTTGCTCTGATCTGGTCATCTTTAATGTAGCTGATAAATTCAGTTTAATCAGTAGAATGCACAGGTTTTGAATAGCCACATTTCAGACATGATTGTAATTGTTATTATTATTATAATTTTTTGACTAAATTCAAAATCGTTTTGAGAATTTCTCTCCATTTGGGCTTGAGAGTGTGTTTGTATTGATGAAGGAACTTCCAGCAAAAAGAGTAAAGTGATGCAGTACGTTTCTTAGAAAACCCCAATTGCTTAGATACAAAACGGCTTCTACAGTAATCCATCTGCAATCTTCGTCCTTGTCAAGGTGGATAAGTGGAGACAACACAAAAAGAAACAAGCAGTTTAAATAACATCAGTATCATCAGCAAAACATAGAACGTCTTGATTTTAGATTGTGGGTTACATCTACTTTCTGCAGGAGAAAAAAACAAAAATCAAACCTGATGTCCCATCTCCAGAAAGGAGGCTCTTCGTTCCTGCAAGTCAAAGTCTCTTTACTTCTTCTTTTCCGCATTAGTGCGTGAGGAATGGGAACCCGTCAAAGGCGAGTCGGTCTGCTCCGTGCCGCTTTCTGGCTGTTAATGTCCTGAAAACTCTACCGTGAGCGATCAGCAGGCTTCCAAACAGCCCACTCTGGCAAATGAAAATGAAGTCAAAACTCATTAGGCCTATAAATGCACATTAATCGCACTTATGACAGCAAAAATGCCGGGGTGAAGTGTGGGCTTTAGATTTCCTTTTAAACAGTTTTCTTTCAAGGCTCGTTATAATATTCTGAGGAGGGAGAAGAAGAAAGAAAGAAAAAAAAACATTCGGCAAACGTGGTGAAACTTCCTCTGTTTTACGAGTAGCTGGGCTTTGGCACCTGCTGAATCGCCTCCATCGTGAGCCTGTGATTGCACTTTGGATAATGACGCCCTCCGTCATCCCCTCAGGTGATAATGGACCTCATTAGGAATGACTTGGGGGAATATGAGGCCTCGGTCATTTTGCCCTCCCTCCTGATGACTACTGAGAAAAAGCTCAATACAAGTGACAATAACTTTTCTGGTTGAAAAAAAAAATATTTATATCATTTTAATATTCTGGTTAATTACACTAAGCTAAAGGTGAGAGACTCTTAGGCTGCGCTCACACTAGCAACTGTTGTCTGTTACTTTTGCATAATAATTCGAGATCAGGTCGTTTTCTGCAAGCTTTGGCATAACTGGGTTTGGAATTGTGTTCCAGCTCAATTTGATCAGGAAGAAAAAAAAAATTCATCCAAGTTTCAGTTGACAGAAATGGGCTTTTTGTCTGCGTTGCTGATCACCTGCAACATTTTATGGACCGACCCAAACTGTGTCGGTTCTTAATGGCTGAAATTAAACTTCTTCCAATTAAAAAGAAAATGCCATGTTTCTTTCTTTTTCTTTTGTCTTTCAACGTCTGGGAAGTTTGGAAAAGTGTGTAGCTTTAATTCGATAGTTTTTCATATGGCCTCAAGAATGCTGATGATGGATTTTCTTAGAATAACGAAAGTTCTTTGTTATTCTTTGAAATTCAGTTAGATGAATGAAAATGTAAAAATTTTTAAATCACTACTGGATAAGTGTTAGACATGGTCCTATCACTGATAACAAGGTATTGCAGGGTCTTCGTATTGTTTAAAGTAATATTAAACAATAATTAGGAACCTCCTAGCAGCTGACTGACAGCCCTACCAGAGCAGATAGCCTGATAACCAGCTAGGATAAGCCGATGTATCAAAACCTAAATAAATGCAGGAATAGTGTTAAAGCATTTATATCAAAAAAATCCCATTCCAGTCCTCAGGGGCAGAAGCCCAGCAGGATCCAACTGTCTTCTCATCTTGTCGTCGAGTTCTGCAGAGACCCATTAATAAACTATTCATTTGAAGTGGGATTGTTGAATTAGGGAAACATCCAAAACATTCAGGACTCCAGCTGCTTAGGCCTCGGATTGGGGAAAACTAAAGTGGATATAGTCATTTATTTTTAGTTTGAATTTGGCTGTCGCCACAAGATGGTAAAACCTTCTTAAAAAGGTAGAAACATGTTGAAAAACATCAGATTGCCGATGGTTACATTTGATTATCAAGTCAGGTTGTTAGCTGCTTACTGGGATTAGAAACAACAACAAAAAAGTTATATTTATAAGTTTGGATAGTACTTTTTGCTTTAGCAGATTATCCTATTAAAAAATGTAGGGAGGTGCTAATTGTCAGGTACTTCTTGGTGAAATACTGAAAAAAACTGACTTCCTTGCTCCACTGGTTAAGTGCAACAAAATTGAGAAGTATTATTGGAATATACCATCTTCATTTATGGGCATTTGAGTAAAAGAAAGGATGAAAGTTTGAGGCATGTACATTTATGCATCAATTGTGATCAGTTTCTGCTTTTTGTATCAAGCACCGTCTCCTTTGTTTTGTAGGATAGGGAACCGAGGTCAGTTTGTAGAAGGAAAGAAAAAAAAGAAATAGCAATCAGTCAAAATCGGAACTGAGGAAACATAAAGTCAGTTAGCTTCGATAAACCCAATCAGCACAACTGTAAACAAGTCAGAGCTGGATATATTCCATTTGAAGAGGAAATTTTCGTGTTTATATCGTAAAAACCCAAATTAGGACTCAACGTCTAACAGCGATAAAGTCGAAGTTCTCCCTCGGATTACAGGCAGCGTCGGTGTGATCACAGCCTGCAGTCTTCACCTTCTTGCTCTACTATTCCTTTCATTCATCTTTTTCTAAAGTGACGACAAATAGAAAATGTCCATATAAACAATAAATTCAACGGTGTGAAACAAAAACATACAAAAACCGTTTACAGTGGATGTAACAAATAAAAGACAGATGTCGACCTCGGCTTTGAAATGAAAAGACAATTTTAAAAAATAGGCCTTCGCTCGCTGCGCTTTGCTTTGAAGGCCTAATAAAAATAAAAAAATAAAAAAAACAAGTCTATTTTATAGTAACACAAAAGGGGGAAAAGTGACAATTTATGTCCGATGCGTCTGAAGGTCTACTGGATATAGGTTTGGTACAGAGGTGCATAACAGTGGGTGTCCAACACTACAACGTCCCCTAGAGCAATGCATCATGGGTAGTCGTTTACACTGATGAGTTGTGGCAAGAGACATCGTTTAATTTCGGCACTTAGAAAACAATCACGATGAAATCCGCGTCATTGTTTTTAATTGAACAAAATTTACAAAGCCATTCAAACAGTCAGAACGTTTCATCAATGTATAGATATAGATTTTTTATCTTTTTTGCGTTTTATAACTCAACTTCAAAAATTGAGAATATTCAAAATACACTTTGACCTCACTCATTGTCTCGATATTTACAGATATGTACAGAAAAAAATTACAGCCCGTCCAGAACCCGTCTGCTCGCCCCGGTCCCCTCCCCATCCCTCATGCCCCACAAACCCCACATACACCCATTTTTTTTCCTCTTTTAAACGTATTCTCTGAACGGATGACAGGATACAAAATGTTTTTAATTTATACATGTTTTTCCCTTCTAAGGCTGCCCAACCCACCTCCCATGCCGATCTGGGTAAAGTCCAGAGCGGCCGCCACCCACACCCTTCCACCCCCGTCCCATCCTGTCTCTATATGGATGTACTGTGGGTGGGATCAATGGCTTCGGGTATGGGTCCTGCGGAGACTGCCTGGTAGGACATTGGCATGGGTGTCTTGCCAGGGCTCTGCCGGAAGAGCCCCCCGTTGGGAGCCCGGTGTTTGCACTGCATGGTGCCGCTGAGGCTGGTGCTGCTGAGAGGGTGGTGCAGGGGCAACGTGGTGCTGCCAGGGCCCTGGGACGGGGGCAGTGTCCTGCCTAGGGTCCCCCCATGGTGAGGGTGGGGAAGAGGGGGAGGTGGGGGTCCCTCCCCGGGCAGGTAGGTGGTCACAGTGAGGGCCGAGGGCGGGTAGTCCCGCACGGACTCCGGCCCCGGAACCAGAGAGGCCTGGCTGGGCTGCATGCTGCCGATGTCCAGCGCAGAGATCTCGATAGAGGGACCGGGGATCTGCTTGTGGGCCAAGTCCTCGTCCAAAAGACTGTTCATACGACGATGCACCTGTTCCAGATTCACCTCCTTGTCCTACAAGAGGAGGGAGTGGGGGGTGAGGAGGTGGGGTGGAGGAGGACAGAGGGGAGACAGGGGGAGAAAGGGAGGGGAGGAGGGACACAGAGGCTGAGATTGGCGATGGGTCGGTTTCTCCGACTGATTCAGCTCTGCTGATGCTCCATGCATTCCTAATCAGGCAGTGTTTGTGATGGATGCCAGCTGATAACTGACTCCATTCTGTGGTTTGGGTTGAAAAGCCCAGCGAGAACTGAGGCCACAGGAACCAATATGTGTGTGTACTTTGAAATCAAACTTGGCCAGAGAGTATTAAATGTTTGATGCGTGAAGTGGGGGGGATGGGAAACAAAGAAGATAAAAAAATAAAAAAAACAATCCTGGGGCCAAACTGACGGGCAGGAGATTGTTGAAGAGCTGTCTGCTGTTACTTAGCTTCTTGCTAAACATGATGGCTCTTTTATTCCCCCTTAAGATTTATCCAAACCTTCATGTGTCAGATAAACACATAAAAGTTTAAGCTTTTCAGATTTATGACTATTTCTCCAGGTTTTTCTCTCCCCTCCGTGGCATGCTTTCCCTCCCTGCCCTTGGAGCTGCTCCGTGCAGCAGGACTGCAGAATCAGTTCCCTATCAGAACAATTTAATCAAAACATTGGCTGACGCTGCATCTCCTGCTGATTGCAGTCATGCATACTTGTTAGGCATTAATAGACACTTCAGTGTTTCCCTGTTGAACCGCAGTACACTGGGTTAAGGGAAGGTAAAGGACAAACAGGCGGGGGTGAGAGGAGGAGGGAGTGAGAGATGGAAGGCATGACCAGCATATTAAGCAGGCCTGGGAGCTTTGAATCCAGATTTTCCTCCATGGATGTTTGTTTGTGGCATGTGCAGCCACAGCGCAGCCACTTGGCGTTTGGGGAGAATTTAAAGTAACTTTATTCACTTTCCAACAAGCACATGAGGTCAGTTCCTGAACGCGAGCCCCGTTTGGCTCCAGGATCAGATTCAACTCGACAAACGATATTAGTCACACTGACACAATGCAAGTGTTACATCTGCACTCCGTATTAAAGCGCACATGTTCAGGTTCCGTCTTGTTTCAGAGGCACAACATTTTATACATAACCAAGGCATGCACTCCCTGCTTCTACCCCTCAATGCAGCCTGTAGCGGCCTTTCCAAAGCAATGTTGTCCCTCTGGTAAAAATGAGTTAAGGATCCAGAGGCATTCCCACTTAAATGTTGCAAAGCTCTAAATTTAAAGCAGCCAGGTGTAGGTGAGGACTTCACGAAGATCTGCTTTCAACTTTTGCTCATAGAACATGTTGCTTGAGCAGGTGCATTTGAATGATCCCACTCGAGTCTCGCGGTACAGCTCTCTGAGCCAATTAAAACATCTCAGCCCTGGCTATTCTTCTGGCAGACTGGCACCTCATTAAAAATATGTTTTTTTAGGGAGTGTCAGGTTGGGAGCCAGCCAAGATAAATAAACGCCTGAGATTAAACCTTAGCCGGTTGTTAAAAGTCAGACGGGCGATGTAAGTGCAGATGGAAGGGAGAGTAGGCTGGGGGAGAAAGGGTGGGCAAAAAAAATAACAAAAAAAAAAAAAAAAAAAAAAAACAACAGCTGCGTGAAAGCCTCCATTAATTTTGAAAACAAACAGCTCTGGTAATAAGGGGTCCCAGTGGGAGGGCATTTGAAATCATTTTGCCTCCTGCCACTTTGTAAATACAGTAACTGTGGAGTGGATTGTGCTCCAAAGCGATAAAGAGAGTTTCTGATTGGTAGATTCAAGTGGTCTTGTAAAATATTTAAACTTCACCAGAGGAGCTGTTTTTTTTTAACTCGCCCATTGCCTCACGTCAACCTTTACTCTGCGGTCTCCACCTCTGAGATGATGACCTATCATCTCTTTTGTTTGTTTGTTTGTTTGTTTGTTAAAGGTTTCGTGACGGAACACCAGTGGTTGTCTTATTAGTAGACAACCAGCCCAGATCAGATAACCCCTACAATACTGCTGATATATTTTTTCAAATAACTCTGTATTTGGAGATGAAGCATGGTTCACAATGCTAACACGTTCATCATTTGTTCACCACTCCTGAAACGGCAGCAAAAAAGGTCAGAGGTGAGCTGTTTGAAATTCGTTCACACACTTAAAAGATGATCAAACAAAACATAAAAGAGGGGGAAAACACAAAAATAATGTCACAACCGAGAGGGTTTCTTATGAAGGAAGGATCACTGCTGCTGGTGAGATGATTCCAGTTCAGTGTCTGATGAACAGATGAGACTGATAAAACTTTAGGTTGTTGTGTCATAATTAGCTGCTGCTAAAAACAAACTGAAAACCAGTTTTTGCTATTTGACCTCGAAACATTTCTATTTAAAATTTCAAAGAAATTTGTTACATTTCCCCTAATCTATTGACGTCTTCAAGGTGGATACTGGGCTTGATTTCAGATTAAGAAGTGAAAGATTCGCCTCAATCAAGCACATTTCTGCTCAGATTACACCAGAAATAAGTCCACCTAAAATCAAAAAAAGAGCTCTGCGTCGGCACAGAAATTGATCATTTGTTCGGGTTTATTTGGATGGTTGCATATGAGCTCTAATCTGACCTGTATCAATTGCTTCTGCTTCATCCCAGCCTCTCTCTCTGTCTGTCCAAATGTCCCTCCTCCCCTCCGATGAAGCAGTTGTAATGTCATTATATGTCAATGGACCAGAAACCCTTGCCAGTCTGTAATCCTTAGTGACCTGCACGAGATCATAGACAGTCAAGTGTAAATAGAGAGATGAAGAGGAGAGGTGAAGAGAGGGAGAGGAGAGAGAAGACGGGTGTCCACATTGACATATAATCTGCAGCATGACGTGACACAGTGACAGCAACAGGTAGGAGTTAAAGAGACAAGGGCACTAAAGGCCGACACAGAATTGTCTGCTCACACTTTAGTTTATGGATCCACATCAAAGCTTTATCCGATCACTTGACAGAGGTCACATGGTGCAGATCTATTCTGCCTGTGGCTGGAGATGAAACTCAGCCGAAGTCCTGACACCACAACACACAGCATACGCTACCGGTTCATGCTACAGGGGTCTGACAGCTGGTTTAGTCTTAGATCCTGACGACCCAACCAAGGTCACAACCCCTCGGTTGTATAATTGCTACATTCTGTCCACATACGATTCAGATTGTTGACAAAGATTTTGTTTTAAAATGCCAAAAACTTATCTTTATTCTACTTTAGACATGAAGCAAGTGGTTGGGGTTGAGCAAGTGTTGTTATAGATTCAATGGCGGGTCAAACGTTTGTTGTTTCCTGATGTTTGGGCAGTGCTGTGATTCATTGGAAATGCAGATCTATGAAGAAGATTGTTCTGGCATCGTTATGGGTCTGGTCAATTATTTGACTCTGCCCTGAACTGTGCAGGTTGGGCGTAACTGTGTGCACCCTTAGAATCACAAATGCGTGTTCACTAGATCCCAACTCTGGTCCTCAAGCTACCCTGCGTGTTTTGATTTAGCTGCTGCAGTAAGAGAAGGTTGCGCCATTATTTGAATCAGGTGTGCTGGAAGTGAGACACGTTTGTGGGCGTATTCACATCATCCCGGTTTAGTCCGCTTTAATGGTAATCTAGTCTGTTTCCCATTAAAATCTGGTTCATGTGGTGATGTGTGAATGTGCAATCAAACCTTTATGTGGACTAAGAAAAAGTGAACTCTGGTCCGCCTAAAATTCTATGTCTCAGTTTGAAGTGAACTCTGGCACAATTCAAATTCATATGTGGATGTAAACTGCTTCAAAAGAAGGAAGTGAACTATACCACAGGACTTTTAGGGTAGATAAATCTAGCGATAGAGGGAGAAACGGCTTGTGGCCTTTTACCAAAGACAAAACAGCTAAAATCTGATGTGTCTCCATTTTTGTTTGCATTTTGAGAAGGAAAATCCAAACATGTTTTCTTCTGAGTTTTTCCTGTTGCTTTCTCTGGTAATTTTTGGTGCGGCGACACCAGACGTATGGTGGAGAGGAACAGGTTTTTCATTTGGTTTGTATTGTTTGACACAATAAAATAACCCAAAATAGAGAGAGAGAGAACTGCTTCAGCTGAAAATATAAAACAAATGTTGCAATTTTGGTCCTTAATTTTAAAAAAGTGTACTGGACTCACCCTAAAACAGCGTGGGTATTTGATGGCCAGGGGTGGGAATCGCAGCTCAAGTTGTTGATTTGTTGGCGAGAGAAAATGCAATATTTTATCTGACTCTTACTCAAAAAGTAAAGTGTGTTCAAAACATACACTGAAGGAATATCCATGAATGCTTTGAGTGACATCCCCACACTTATCCAGGAGGCATTTCTGGGTGGAAAACATGAACATTAATGTGTTAAACAAAAACAAAAAACTACTGGGAAGAGCACTTGGTTAAATTGCTGTCATTTTAAAGCCTCCAGACCCTTGACTTAATTTGTGTCTGAACTGTGGTGAAACACTTTTTTAAAGGACGTTGCTGACTTTTCATCTTGTTGGAGTTCTCAAATGCATTTCACACTAATTACTGGATTTTGTTTGAAGATCCCATTCGCTATGGAAGCCAGATTTTCCTACGTTCTGATGACTTAAATGCTGCTAGCTTTAAACATGAAGCAGCTGCTCACACACACGAGTTAGTTCAAAAAAATTTTTTGATGATCCTCTCATTCTGCCGTCTTACAGCTACAATGGTCCTCTACGGAGGAAACATTTGTACATTTAAGGCTGAACAAGAGGTCAGAGGATGCAAATTTAAAGAATCATTCTCAAAAAATCAGTAAACCAAATCATTAACATGTGGTTTGTTTGTATGTGTGGGTGTCTTGACATACATTTTTGTTAAGATGGAAAGTTTTTTGAATTATTTTTAATACTTGTAAAAAAGCTTTCGCAGGTTTATGCGGCTCAACACCGGGTGATACTGGCAACGGAGGTCGACAGTTCCAGCTTCCATCGGCACATTAAACGTTTTGGGCACTGAACCCTATTGCAAGACAAGACTCTGACATGTTTTTAGAAGTGTTGACATTTACTGGCATCATTTCCGACTGAGAATTTTTTTTTCTTTATGTTAAATGCTATTTTCATGTTATGTTAGCTGCCAAAAGTGACTATTTTTTCTTTTCACTGTATGCATTTGGCATTAGTCAATATGTGATTATTGTACCATGTCAGACCATAATAAAAATCGAAGTACAACTCTTTGCTTTAGGTTAAAAATGACACTAATTAACCCCTTTAACCCCTGGAAGAAAAAAAAACAGCACACAGGCATTCGGCTGCATATCAAGGGGTTTTAAAGGACGTTGCTTACTTTTCATCTTGTTGGAGTTCTCAAATGCATTTCATACTAATTACTGGATTTTGTTTGAAGATCTCATTCGCTATGGAAATACCGTGCAAGAGTGGATTTTTTTTCGTGCTTGTCACCTAAAAGCTAATCCACGGCCAAAACCAGCTCTCCATGGAAGCAGCAGATGGCTCTGGGTCAAAGGTGCTGACACATCCGCTGCTGTTGCACAAGTCAAACCCTGGTTAAAGGGTTACCTGAATAAGGGGGGACTTGCTGTTGAAAAAAAATTAAAAAGAACTCAGACTTTTACAGATTTGGCAAAAATTATCTTTGCCATATATAAAATCAGTTGAGTCCTGAAAGAGACTGTTTTTTTTTTTTATCTGTGAAAGGTGCTATACAAATAAAGTTTAGCTTACTTACTGAGATACAGCTGTCAGACTAATAGAGAAGCTTAGCACCTATTGTTCTTTTAGAACTCACATCGTTACATGGATCGGTTATCTGAAACATTTCACCAGCTTTTGTTCTAATCCGTCTGATAAACACAAAATGGAACGTTTTAACCTCGCTGCGGCTCGGCTAAATTCCAGGTCATCGTTATCGGTTTACTGTCAAGATAATTCATTTACGGAAGCTAATTGCATGTTTCATTAGCCTCTGTGTAATTCTCGTTATGTGAAACTGTGGAACTTAATCAGATCCTGTAAGCGGATTCAAGAACATGTCTAAATGATACCAACCCCATTTCTTTGTGTGACACACAAGCTCCTTTTATTTTCTAATTAAATCTGATTGAATGCGTGGCTCGTTCACTGAGGGTTAGTGCATCTGAGCTCTGACGAGACACAGCAAGTGAACAGACAGAAGATCACTTAACTGTTAAAGAAGCTGACGGTAGTGAAAGCCAAATTTGATGTCGATGATTTTGTAGTTCAACAACTCCGCTTTCTGTGCTAAACTGTCGCGATGCTGCATGGGTTTCTGTTGGATGTGCATCTATTTCTTCTATGGCCTGCACTGCACTTATTCACTACTTTTAAACCTGAAAGGCATTATAGCTATGACAATATTTTTGCAGATGGTTGACCACACACGTAATCATAGAAATGTTCATTTTTGGGAAAGAACGTATTGTGCAGCTTATGTTGGTTTATTGACAATGTTACGCCAACACATGAGTGCACATTAACGGTAAGCTCCTTCAGGGAATCTTAGATTGCCTGGAGTTTTCGGAATGCTATTAAGAGTGAGTCTTGCAGGGCCTTGTGCTAAACTTATTGGATTCCGTTTGGGTATATTTTTTAGGGGTGTTAGTGTTCTGATTGATTTCTCAAGCCTAGCTTTAAGAGTTAGCATCTGCGTTGTCTCTGCTCCTGAGGTCGTTAATCAGAAGAGTGCAACAGCATATATTAGCAAACTGCTTAAAGTCTCAGCCCAAGCAGATATTTTGATCAGTAGCTCCTTGGCGTTGGAGTCCATATTATATATTATATATATCATGGCTCCTTTTTTTTTTAATGATGAACATGTGATGTTGACACACAACAGTGCTAAATATCTTTAAAGAAGAACCTTTCTAGTCTTTGAAATCAGTATGAAAGGGCTGCTAGTACATAATAAACTCTATTTCCCAAAAATAGTGCAAATTTTCTGGTAGAATAATATCATGGTGGCGAATAGTGCCAGCAGTGAATTTAAAATGGCCACATTACCGCCGTGACAATTCTCCAACTTCATCAAGACAGTCATTGTAAGGCACTATGGCTGCTATGTGCTTTGTGTCCAGCAAAGAATATCAGCAGTATTAGAAAAAAAAAGATCATACTGTTCATGCTAAAGTACCTAAACAGAGATCAAACATGGAATATGTTGACCCAACTGGACCAATTAGCAAGCAGAAAGAGAAGTTGTGAATGAGTTATTCTGTGCTGTTTTAGAAGCACAGAATTACTGTAGTCTGCCTATAGCTGAATAATGACAGCGGTGGAAGTGAACAAAGCCGTTCAGTGTGTGTTGGCCACGCTTCCAAATATTGAATTATCACTAACAGCCGTCTTGTTTAGGCTGGCATTTCTCTCTCCGGGGTTGAGGATGGTTGTTTACAGCGCAGGTGATTTCCGGTAAGATTCATATCCTTGAACTGTCAAGTTAAATACGGAAAATGTTGGCGACTGGGTAATATTTCAAACTTCAACAGAGTTCACGTTGTAGCAAGCAACCGTTTCTGAATAGCCAAGGCTCCAGAAGGGAATGTTTTATTTTTTCTTATTTTAAAGAGGGTAGATTGTATCCATCTTGTTTTAGGTCAGACACCTCATTCTAATGAAAAATGTGCCAAAGAAAAAACTCTGAGAAAGCTTCAGATATGTGTAAAACCACAACAAAAGATTACAGGACGTAAATAAAGAGAAGAGGAATAGAATAAAATTCCTGTCGTCTGGCAATGCACATTTATCAAATGCATAAATGCTCTCAGCCAAGCTGCAGAAGAATGCTTGTTTTCCTGTTTGCTTGCTTTAGTCATCACAGAAAAGCCCCGACGGCGCCATGTTGAGCTCTCCTCTAGCCTTTTGTTTTTTTTCTTATAGCAGCAAGTCTTTCCAAAACTCAAGGGCCACTAAGGGATTTGTGCTAATTATATCACATTAAAGTTGATCCTCATCAGGCGTCTTTGACAACTTGCGAAAATCTAACCATAACAGCGAGCCATTTATTATTCATCAGGCTCTTATTAAGATGGATTTCAGCAATAAGAACAAATATTTGGACACCACTTGATGGCGTAACTGCTAATGGAACCTGCTTTATGGCTGTTTTTGTCTCCTGATATCTCAGTAAAATTGAGAACGTCCACAAGCATTAAAAAGGTTTGACACCGTTATCCCCAGCAGCCTGAGCAATCACTCATTTTCTTGGCTAATTATCGCCTCCTTTCAGAACCCTTGGGTTAGGGAAATTACCAAAGCTTTACTACAGAAAATGGGTTTGTAACAATAATTCAATAGCAGCTCTTAAATGGTTAGAAAGGCGTCACCGTGGGGATCGATCATTAAAGCCTGTGGTGCACGCTGTGCTTTAGTGAGAGTGAAGGTTTGCTGGGAAACATGCAGGATGTGTTGGAAGGCAGAACCTGGCGTGTTGAGCTAATGAGGGGAAGCAGAGATAAGTTGCTTTATGGGCGAATTAGTAGAAGTAATGGTTGGGTGGAGTATGCTGTGTGCTTCTTGTGTCTTGTGCTACAAAACCAGCTGAAGTCCTTGTTTAGAACAAGGTGAGGGGGGAGTGATGGACGGATAAAAGAAAAAAAAAAAGAAATGAAGCAAGTTAAATCATAAGGGACCAAATTTGATTTCAATTAGTGGCCTGGGCTGATGAGGCACAGAGCATGTTGATCTAACTCTGTCCTACTTTGCCTCCCTCTGTCCTCCAGCCTTCCTCCGCTAACACTACCACCCTAAATCTCTCCTCTACAGCTGGGTGTACTGGAGCTCCACTAAGTCGGGGCTCGCGTCTGCGGCTGGATCCTTAAAGTAGAGTGTGGCAGTGTCTTCCCCCCGCTGGCCCGTCCGCCGGGCCCTATGCTCGGTCACCTCTTTGGGCTGCTCCTGCCGGCAGCGGTTGCTGTTCCACCATGCTTCCAGGCCCGCCACCAGGCAGGCCAGCAAGAGGCCGGCGGCCAGGATGCAGAAGATGCCAGCGAAGCTGTGCAGCTTGAGGGAGCGGCCGTCGGGATGGGTGCTGGCGTGGCTGCTGAGGTCGCAGCGGCCGGTGCGAGGCCACCACTTCTGCTTCATGATGTCCAGGTCGCCTTTCTCCTGCAGCTCCAAGATCCTGATGGAGACAATAGGAATACCACAGAGACATTTTAGCATTGCTTTACGTGGCTACTGGTTTACAGTACATGAAATAAAATAAGCACTGGACACAATGTCATTCTCAATAAATACATTTCTGATCATGCTATTGACAGGAAATTCACACTGGAGGTCGGTAACAACCCAAATAATCCACACAAATAAATCCATTTTTGAATTGAGTTAGAAAGTGAAATATAACCGGAAAATAAGTAAGCCTTCAGTCAACATGAGCTCATTTGTCACAGTTCTTTTGAAAATAACCACCTCAAGGCAGGAATTTGACCATTTCTAAACAAAGAAAATAAGGCTTTCACCCAGCGAAATGATGTATTGTGACTCAAAAGTAAGTGCTTCTTTTAGTTTAAATGAAATACCAGACATTTTTTTTTATCAATAACAAGCCTCCCAAAGATGTGAATACCTGCACACACCTTTGTTACAGTTTCACTAAGAAGAGCAAACACAGTAGACAGCTATGGAGTGTGATGGAAAGGGTCAGAGTAATGCTTTCGAAAATCATCTATGCGTCGAAACATCAGACATGCTTTTTCTGAAATAAATCAGGCCATAAAACCAAAGCCTAATTTGATGTGTTTGATCGGCTCGGCTCAGTGTCAACACGCTGAAGGTCAGCGCACATTGGTTTCCATCCACAGCCTCTCCTCAAAACAAAACAGTTTACCAGCACAAATTCAGCAAAAGCTAAAAAGTCTGCGACGGTTCTTAGTGGCCGGATTATCGAGCAGAACAGTCGGCAATGGAGGTAGCGGGGCAGTTATGGGATGTGGTATTAACATGATGGTTGGGAGCGCGGAGATAATGGCTTCTACGGCGAACAATAGCCCTGCCCTCATTTTAACACTCAGACACATTATCCCTGCGAGTCCCAGAGTGTTGCGCCGAGAAGATGCCTCCGGCTGTTGGACGCCCGCTGAACTGGGCCGGGCCCAGAGCGGAAAATTCATTAAATAAGGAGCAGCTCAGCATTCTCTGAGTGGCACAAATTAAACACAGAGTTGTTTAATTGAAGAGGGAAGGGAAGAAAGAGCGGAGGCACCTCCACGGGGTCGACACAGAGCTGAACGCGACTGCAGCAGGGACCAGACAGGCAAGACAGAGAGGAACCAAACGGTGAAAAAGTTTTCTTAGATCACCACAACAAGCTCTCTATTCACATTGGATCTGGATTAAAAGTAATTTGCTGTGAAAGAGGGAGGGGTTTATGTTTAGATTTTTTCTTTTTTTACATTGCACCCAGTAACTTCTGTGGAGAACCGGAGTTAATCTGTCCACATAAATATCTCAATATTAGCATAGTTTATGAAGACGTTTAAACTTACAGTGAAAAACGTGAAAGATGTGAGTTATTAATATGCTATTGTTAGTCGATGTAGCAAGTTTGCTCCTTATTATATTGATTTGCACCCACTAACTGCAGGAGAAAAAATAGTTACATTTGTAGTTCGCACTACATGTGTAGTGTGGCCACGTTTTTGTGGTTTAGTCCGTCATACAGTTAGCATTACTCTGAAGCACCGATGTCGCTGTCAGATATTGACTCAGACATGCAAAAAATATGTGGTTTAACAGAAATCCAGACTGTACATGATTCAACCATGTTTGTTAAAAAGTTAATTAGATTGTTTGTTTCTGCAATAGCAAGCCATTATCTATAAAAAGTAAATCTAAATGTATGTGAACGTCTGTTCGCATAAATATGAGCCAAACACCAAACCATCATACCGATGTTCAGGGATGTATTTCTGAAGGAACAGCTTTTTAAAAGCACACTACTAAATCCCAACCGGTGAGACAGTAGTACAGTCTACATCACAGATTGTTACACTCTACCTGAATTAAAACACTATAACAAGACTGTTTGCTGTATTTATTTATTTATTATCTGAACAAGAGCAGCACTTAACACTAAACAAAAGAGAAACTTCTGCGACATCCTGTACTTGCAGAATAATTTTTGTTTTTCTCAGACAGCAGGGAACTTTTCAAATTTCTTGGATGCAGTTGATCTCAGCTTTGTGCCTCATCCGCAGGAGCTGAGATGACTGTAATTGCTAAAGCTACTCGACTAGATTTTGTTAGTATGTTAGGAATCGAGCAAAATTTAATATTGAACTTTTACTTTTAATAATCTAAAGTATTATCTTCACACGGCTGACATGTGGTGCAACTTATGGTGTCATGTTTACTTGCATGCCCGCCAACTCTGTGCGGGGAGCAACGTCGCCTCAGCAGTCGCATCAGCAGTCGCATCAACAGCTTGAATGCAAACACAGAAAAACGCCTTTTTGTTGTTGTCTTTTTGCTCCTCTAACCCTCAGAGAACTGCTGGAAAGCTTCAGACGCCGACACCTTCCTCAAACTAATGTGTCACCTCTCTGTGTCGAAGTGTTTCTGCATTTCAGAGGTTTTATCTCTGTCCAGCCGGTGCTGTTGACTCATCGTCCCCTCAAGTCCACGGCTCGTCACATACAGAGAGGACGATCTCAAAGAGAAATGGGATTGTTGCTCAGTGTGCGCCTGACCTCGGAGGATGAAAGAGGAGGACACGGAGCTGGAGCCGGAGGAGGAAGAGGAGAGCCAAAGTGGGAGGAGGTGTAAATGACACTCGTGCGAAGACGCCCCTGGCGTCAACGTGGTGCGAAACACGCCGGAGAGCGATTTTCCCAGAGCAACAAAAGAACCTGCAGCACAGCGGTCGCTGCTGCTAATTCTTTGTGTCAACATCTATATTAACACTAAGACTCCACCTTTGGTGTGTATGTATATTTCGTACTCACAAAGCAACAAAGAGTGTTGCTTCATGTTCATGTTAGGAAACAAAATTGGCACATATACTACTGCTGTTTGAAAATCAGGCCGGCTGATCACTGATGTCCCAGGCTAGTTCTTTATGTTATTTAGCCAATTTGTTGTTTGTCATTCTCAGTTCTTTGAACCTGTTGCCCAGGCTTTACTGTTCTCTTCCACCTAAAGCCTCTACAGTAATAGGTTAAGGTGACTGGATTGTTAAGTAAAACAGTTCAGCGCCCAGAAGACATTTAGTCTGTTTAAATACTTGAATGCAACATTCAAATTTCCTATCATTATACATTGTATGACTTTTCTAACAATTTTCTTTGACTTTAGCGAAGGTTGTATTTACAAACCTTTCTTAGATGAGATCTTATTGTCCCAGATAAGAGTAATTAATAAAGCTCATTTACCATTTCCTCAAACTGCATGCTGCATTTCCCCACAGTGTTATAAGTTTTTTTAATCTTAAGTGTCTTAATGTCTGAGAGTAAAAAACATAGAAAGCAAAAAGAGGTTCACTGTGGTCAGATAATCTCCCTGTATGCAGATGACACTGGTTTCTTACTTTCTAGTTTCAACAGGCTTGTATTGTATAATTGCAACTTTTGTATGCTAAACCCACACACAATACTGCAGCAGTATACCAAAAATACATCCTGCACCTAATAAAAGTGGTCATCTTATGCAAAGGAGCAGGTGGGTTATCGCTTTAATGTTTTCAAATTCAAGTAGAAAAAATAAGTAAATCAATAGCAGATGGATGAGAAAGTGTTCAGATTTAAGTGATCTCGCTGCTAATGACGTAATAATGCGGAGATTATAACCAATCTGCAAGATTTTTTATAATCTCACTGGGATCAATTTGTGTTTGATTAGGGGAGGAAAAAAAAGCCCCAGACCTTTCTCTGCAGCCGCCTGGCTTCATCTGAGGAAGATGATCCAACTTCCTTAAATTTCACGGATTTGCTCAGACATCTGCCTCGCAGAGACGAGGTGAGTAATTAGCACATGTACTTCTGTTTACATTCACACACCATGAGTAATCCTGTTTTCTTCGCAACAACGCGGCTTAATGCGAGCTCCTTTCATGTGAGCCTAATTGACTTCAGCCTCGAAGGCGTTATTGATTGAACAGCGAGAGCACGACCGGCAGGAGATGTTTCTTATCTCCCGATCTTTTAACGCGCAGGTTTAAGAGTCAGTCGGTCTGACACCACTTCATCTTCCAGCAAGAATGTTCCTCGTTAAAAACTCTGCTGTAATTTGCAGAGACGGGCGGCTCAGTGAGACCCTTTACTCATCATCACAGGCTTTTTAAGATGATAATAAACTCTTAAGGTCAACAACGTGAATTAGATAGAAGAAAAAGCCTGCAACCTCCATCATCGTCTTTGGTTTTCCTGGCTCTGATGAGTGTCAGCTGAAGATTCACATTCAGCTATCGACAGATAACTGTAATAGATCTCAGCTCAAACCTCTGAGTGACGGCGACCCCTACAATTTAGTCTTCAGCTGGTCTGTACATCTATTCTTTTAAAAATATTAACAATACTTTGAGAGTATCCTGGTGAAAAAATATATCTTTAAGTGTATTTTAAATACTCTTAGCATGTTAGTATGTTAAACATATTAACATGTTTAGAATTTTAGTATGTTTAACATACTAAACATCCATTTTTTCTGAAATGCATGTATGTACTAGAAATTACATAGTAATTATTATACTTTTAAAAAAAGCTGAAAATTGTAAAAATTGTAACAGGAACTACAGCCGAGAGAAAACACAAGTTCTGAAGCAGCTGCAGTTTCCTCATGAAACAACCACTGGTGGAGACTGCAGATTTTCTTTTTTGTTCAGCGGCAGGTTTGTACAAAAGCTGTGAGACACGCTCAGCGACAAATAAAAACTTTAACTCAAAGACAACAATGTAAGTTTCTCAGTCATTTGTACCCACATCTTCTGATGTGATGAATGTTAAAGTATCTCAGACTAGATACAAATAATTGCAGAAGAACATGCTGCAACCTCAAACCATCAGTGAAGACAGGATGTAATGAGTTTTTGGGGTGTAAAAAAGAAAGATGGAGGAAGAAAAGAAATGTGTGTTATGTCTTTATGTCTATAAAATAGCAGCATATTTGTGTTACCAACTATAGAGTCCCCCTAGTGGACTGGAGGACTTCTGTTTTAGGGCAAGTAAGGACCAAGCAAGTTTGCAGCATTCCATAGTTGCCGTTTTTCTTGCTTCTATTTTCCCATTTTTTTAACATATTCTGTGATAAAAACAATTTTTGTCTGCTGCATTTTGCTGCTGCACTCAAGTATTTTCGAGTTTTCACCATTCGTGTGTTTGCAGCGAGTTTTGCTGTTCGCTATGCAGTTGCACCTTTCGGCCACTATATCAGGAGGTCCAAAAGAAGCATTCTGTCCTTTTCAAAGATTCCCTCATCATTGTGGTGTGTTCACTCACTTCTGAGAGAAGAGGTCTCTGTATGGGCTGCCGTGCTGCATGGCGATGCCGTAGCCCTTGCTGCTCATGCTGTTTCCTGAAACCGTGATGGTGCAGTCGTCATCCGTCAGCGCTGCATACTCCAACACTGCCATGTCCCACAGGAAAGCGTAAGGACTCTTCTTTGCCTGGAGCACGAAGGAAAAAATACAATGTAGAAATAGAAATTTGCTCAAATTTGGTCCAGATTTCTGCTGCAGGTTCGGTCCTGACCCGACCGACACCAGGGAGAAAACAGGATAAACCTTGTGATAACAGAAGCCTCTCTTTCAGCTAAAGAGAGAGCTGAAAGAGACAAATAAATTTTGTCAAAACTCTGAGTCTACATGAATACATTATTTTCTAAAAATCATTGGCCTTTTCCTCCAGTTTATTTAAGCTGGCCAAGAATAGCAGCATTAAATAAAAATTTTGTTATAACACCCAGTCACAATGAACACAGAGAGGTAGTAAAAAATAGAAATACACTGAAGTAAAACAACTGTACTTCTGGAACTTTAATGTGATGGGATCTATCTACCTGTCTGTCTCTTTCATAATCCAGACTAATAGAAAGCCTGCACTTTGCACATCAACAATCCCTCTGAAAAACAATCTAACTAATCTCATCTAACTGCATTGATTCACTGGGAAAAACTACATCTAAAGACTAGCGGATGCTCTGACGTTTTCTCTCCTTTATATCCCAAACAATGTTTTTGATAACAACGCATTGGGATGACGCCCAATGTGGGTTCTTTATTATCGGTTCTGGTTTTGACAGAAATTTGTTGCAGTTGATCTCCGCCTCAAGCTTTTCATCACTTTTGAATGTTTTTAAAAGATTTTTTTTTTAATACAACCTGCTTCAGAAGAGAGTGCAAGTCAGACGTTTTTATAATTTGTTTGACTTGTTTTCTTTCCCAAGATAGAAAAACGTAAAAGTTCGATAGCCATTATTTTTTCCTCCCCCTTTAAGTCTTATGAACAAGTAAGATGTTTGCAGGAGTCAAAGTCAGGGTTTTAAACCACAACAACATTGCATCATTTCCAATTGTAGCGGTGGAAAGATCATGTTGTGAGGTTGTTCCATGGTAGGTGGTGCTGATGCACTGCACAAAGTGGATTAACATTACAAAAAGGGTCATCATACTTGTGTTTGGCATTAGAATGGCAAATTAGCATCAGATACACACCACAACTTGACTTAAAATGGGAAAAACTGGCTAGAAAAAATTGCACACTGTGCTAAAACTATGCTCGGCGTGACATTGTCTTTTGTCTTCATCTACTTCTTGTTTAATGACAGTTCAATGGAGCCTTACAACCACTAACTGGTAAGGAGTGTGAACCGAATGTTGGCAAAAGAAAAAAAAAAAATCCTACTATCCTATCAAACCAATTACAATGTCTTAAAATGTATTTATTTATTTCTTGAGTCTGTCTGAAATAGATCATATTTTGACTGATTAGTTAAAACACGAAACAAAATAAAACTAGGAATGGAAATACACAGCTAGGATTCTAACCTGGCCAACGCAATCCCATGGAATTCCACTCAATGCTCAAGCTAAGAGCTCTCTTAAGGCCTAAGGTGCTTTGTGAATATCTTATCATACTGAGGTAAATGTCTAACAAAAATTGTGTAATTTGAAAACTTTTAATTTTTTATTTTTTTTTACAAATATTTGTAAACTGACATACAAGTTCATGTATACTGTAGTATATGTTTGAACCTGTACAAATAATTTTGCCCATGTGAAGATTAGAGAAAATCCAAAACTTTTAACTTGTGAACCCGGTTCGGGTTTTCAAAACCCACCGAATTCGCACGATGCATCACCAACATAGGAAGCTTGAAATGAATCAGAAATAGATGAACATAAAACTCCTGCGAGGTGTTGTAGGTATTCTCATTTGTGGCGTTATTGTGTACCGCTCTTGCTTGCTCCCTGTTAAAGATAGATAAACCCAGTGTTAGCTAATCTTCTTCCTGCAGCAATGAGCCAGAAGCTGATGCTTAACGGATTTGGTTCCGTTACAGTGTCAAGAACACGCCGATATGCGATACTGTTGCCGAGAACAGAAGGCTTTGTCTGTGTTGTGCTGCAGAGGCGGTCTGTCGGAGGTGATGGGTAAGGATGAGGTGACAGTAACACTCAGCGGCAGCAGTGTGGTTTAAGTGGATGAGAACGTGGGTGTTTTCACTGCATCAGCAGCGCTGCTGCAGGACTTTCTGCCTCCACCGTTTTGACCTGTGTGAATGAAAGCACATTGTTCTGTCCCGCATGTTCTCTCCAGAGTTACACAAAGACGTGTTTTTAGATCATTTCGTGCTGTTGCCATCCTCTGATGTGCGGCATGCAGCTGCTGCTGTCGGCTTCACGTCTCATCACTGCTCACAGTCTGCAGCCTGAGTGAGATACTGCTTTTTAGCGGCGTTTGAAGTAACACGCAGCAGAAAGAAGATTTTAAAGAAGAAAGGAAGAGAAAAGACGAGCTTGGAGGAAGCTCGGCTTCACAAATATCATCGTAGGCTGTACCACTACTGCAGAACTGCAGTGGCTGCAGTACAGTGAGAGCATCTGTCCAACAGCTGAAACTAGTTCCAAACTGAGTCATCAACTGGTCAATTAGGGATGCAAACAATTAATTGGTTTCTGAGTCATTGTCAGTTAATGGATTAGTAAAGTAAAATCGATTCCAATCGATTAACGAATAATGTCCGCTTCCGGTCTTTTGGTGTTTCAGTTTGGTGGCCATCCAGTGGAGAGCGCTGTTGGTCATCCTTAACCACAGCCAGTTGATAGAGGAATAAAGATGGCGGAGCCACACCACAACAGGAAAGAGAAATAGTTCAATCTGAGTCCGGTGTGGGCTGGAAAGTGAGCTTCATGCTTTTCTGTTTTGAAACCAAACACTCAACAAGCTTCTTAAATTCCACCTTAATAGCACTAATTCATCCAAATTTACCAATGTGCTACCAAGGTCAGGATGTGATGGCAGAGAAGCAAGGAGGTGAAACATTAAACATCTAAACCTGATAAAAATGTTGTGCTTGTATCTTCAGTTAGCTGCACAGAGACAGATGTCTTCAACCCCCAATGGGAGGAAGAAAGGAGTTGGAAAGGTGAGAGGGACAAGTTCCTCAATGTGACAAACTAGTTAAGTCAGAAACACTACCGAGCGTTATATTGCTGCTAAAGTTGGTTCTGAAAGCTGGTGACCCACTGCAGGACTAAATTTATTCACATGACTTTTCATCCTCTGACCCTTTCTATGAGGTCAATTGCTCATATTTTATTTCATAGTCGCTATCTCGACAAATTCAAAATTTGATTTCAGCTTTGTTTTGAAGGTAAACGTGAGACTCTCTCTTGACACTATTGTTGTTAAGGTGCCTCAGTGCATCCTAATGAACTGAACAACCAGTTGCAGGACTGGAGGTTCCAACACTGCCTGTGAAACAGATGAAAAACTGTCTGTGTACGGACTGGTTTGAGGGGGAAAACGTCAGCGCTTCCAGAGGGAGGCTTGTCATGCAAAAGGCTGAATAATGGAGGCGCTCAAAGCCGATTTGTCTCTGAAACTAATTTGTCATTGGCTTTTTGGAAGATCTACGAGCATAATAACGCGCAGCGGCGGGGCACTGGTCCTGCTTTCACACGCACACACACGGGATACTGCCTAACTAATTGGTGCATTGTTCAACCGCGCTTGCAATTAAGTAATAGATAAACAGATTAATATGTGTGTTTGCCTGCTGTGAATGAAATGAGGAGAGTGTGCATGTTTTAAATGACTACTGATGATAATTTGGGTTCACGCAAACAATTTACAATAGGAGTTCTTTTGTTGTTTGTCCCCCACAGACTCTGAAGGCTGTTTCTCGTAAACATCCTGTTTGCGTATGACAGATTAATTCAGGTTTAATCTAATGCGACAATTTGGCTTTGGTCCAGCAGAGATTAAATTGCAGGCAACAAAAATCTCTTTCAGATAAAACTACACCAACACCAACATTGAATAGTGTTGCTGTTTAAAAAATCTGCCATTTGTATTAAACAGTATTTCATGTGATACCCCCAAAGAAAACCCAACCGGAAGCATTTAAGTACAGTCCAGCTCCGTACAATTGTGTTTTTTTTTTTAAATAAATGTAATTATTTTTTTTACCCTCATGACATTTTCCACAGACCGAGACACAAACCTTGCGGATGCCTTCTGATGGGCTGGACACGGAGTAGTCCATGCCGTCGTTCTTGCTGATGGTTCTCCACAGCTCTGCGTACGTGCTGTCCTGCTCCAGAGGGTTTGTGCCTTTATTCCTGAAGTAGTCGTAGACGGCGGAGTCTCTCACGGTGCCGTACTCCACGTCGATCTGTCTCGCCAAGTCCTGGAATGACCTGTAGGACGCATAAAAAAGACAAGAGTCATTGTTAATGGGCAGCGTGTCTCTCAGTTTCAATTTTGCTGCTGGCTCCCTCCGCCTGCCCCCCCAAGTTGTTAATGAGGTATGGCTTCCATTACCACTGGTAATGCAAAAAAAAAAAAGGAAAAGAAAAGAAAATTAATTAATCTTTTACAACAGTATTGCTGGAAATATTCGAAAAATTTACTTTTAATTTGAATGCATTTGTTTAGTAGTGAAGAAAAACATCCATGTAAGTAAATTACCAGATATTTTTTCCCTGTTCATTATTTCTTTCCATGTTTTTTTTTTCTTTTAATCATAGAATAATTTTGCAACCCCTAACACTTCTTGCAAATAAATAACTTTAAAGTTTTGTTGTTTTTTTTTTTGTTAGTTAGTTAGAAATTACTTGGTAAAGTGAGTCAGGGTGTGTGGGAACTTTTAATTAGTACGTTTCAGTTTCCCAGGGATATAAATATGATGCGTCACAAATAAAAGAGAAGCGAACCTGAACATTCAGGTCAACAACTGTACAAAGATGGCTGAGGATCCATCACACATAGTGAAGAGGTGGGTAAAGGTCTCCAAAGGTCACTGATAGAGAACTGCCACTTGTGGCATCTTGGGGTCCCCAAGTCTCCATGAAAACCACGAGACACCATCTTCAGTAAAAGTCGGTACACATCTTCAGTAACAAACTAGAGATGTTTGTTACCATGTTTGTTGCATTCTTTTTTTGTAATGCAAAAAGAAATGAAGCACCTCAAATGTAACATATATGTTTTTTTTTTATATAATTCAAGTGAAAAATTAATCTATTTGCGGGAAAGAAATCCCTGAGTTCGGTCTGATTGAAAACCTGTGGGCAGAGCTGAGATGATGTGCGAGAGCAAGGAGAGTAATAACCTGACCAAACAGCTCTGTCAGACGAAATATCCGGCAAAACGTTTAAGTGACATGTTTGGACGAACTCCCGAAATGTTTAAGACAATTCAAACTTTTAACTTCGAAGCAGGTAAAGAGAGAAATATGAATCAATCTTCTGGCATTCATCACAAGATGATAGTTATCCCATGTGGCCTGGAACAGGAAATGTTGAGTCAGTGAGTCTCAGAGGTTTTACTTCCAGCAGAAACAGAAAATGGTATACTGGCCTTTATGTACTTCCTTAATTCCAGCCCTGTCTTGGTCCCCAACATGTTTCCTACATGACTAATGATGCACCCAATTTTTCTTCAGTAAAAACTATTTCTGAGGAACAGCAGACATCTTGTTTTATGTTCCATTACCTGACCAAGAGGAGGACGGCGTTTGGCTCTGACCGGTCATACATACCCCTGTCTGGGAAGTAAAGTCTGGGCGAAAGGCACAACGGTTGTCAGTCAAAGTGGAGACATCTCCCCTCTGCCGGAGTCTGCAGACGATGAGTCTGCATCGTGCGCACTCCTCCGTCTTGAGTGCTCACTGTTTCGCTCTGCAGGGCCGCGCCGCGCACTCCGACGCCTCGTCCTTAATGCTGCGACGGGGATTCGCTGATGAAAATGTCAGCTTGAATTTGATACTCGGGAGGAGAGGAGGCAGAAAAGGGATGGGGCTGTGCGTCACGGAACAGGTAGCAGATGGAAAATGAGAGATAACATTCGCTACACACGCGGCGGATAAATGATGATGCACCTGAGCTGCGAAGGTTCTGTCAGAAATCTGCTCAAGCATTCAAGCTTGGGAAAGATGGGATTTTTTTCTTCCTCTGAAGAAACATTTGAGTTTTAAATCAGTCTCTTCCTCAGGTCTCAGAGGATCACAAAGTCCCTTACAGCTTCAGCAATTTGAAAAAAAGAAAAGAAATGAGACTCATCCGTCGCTCCTGGAATCACAGTCAGTTTGATGAGACAAAAGTCTGCTCTGTGTCGTGACTTCCCTGCGAAGCTCAATCTGGAGTTCATTATCGTTTTAGCACTAATGTGCTTGCACTTCACTGTCAGCGGATTTCATTTTTAACAGTCCAATATGCTGCAGATTTCTTCCAGGATTGTCCTGTATTCTTCCCAGCAACTGGCCAGATTCCCTTCATGTTTCAACAAGTGGACAGCGTGTTTTTTTCCTGTTGCCCTACGACCAAAAAGGCAACGTTTGTTGAGTGCAAGATTAAAGGCTGTCCAATCAACAGGTTATCCCACCTGCAGCTCCTCCCGAGTGACCGTGAAACTCTTGGCTGCTTTCCACTCATATCAGCAGGAAGGGCGGTGACAATATTCCCTCTGTTGCTGGTCAATTCATTGTGGTGCAGACACTTCAAGTCTGGTTTAGATTATTTTACATTGCCATGAAATAACTGCTAATCATCTATCAATGTCAGTGTTAGTAGTGCTAATGGTGATGAGAGATGAAGCAGTTTTGCAGATTACAGCAGGAAATATCCTGGTTAACACAAAATACATTTTAAAAATATCAGATTTTGGTTTTCTGCTTTTTACTAGTAAGGCCAAATTGGTTCGCTGATGTTTTGTTGCTACTTTGCAGAAGCAAAGCATCACCAAAGGGACACATTTAATTTTAAAAAAACAAAAAGAAAAACAGGGTGGACTCAGAAAAGCTTTGATCGGCTGACCTGCGCAGGGCGCAAAAAAATATTTTTGGAAGGGCAGATTCAGTCCAAATCAACAATTACATTGGAAGCAACCATCCAGTGATAAACTGCTGATTTATACCTGAGGAAGTGAATCTGCAGTGGCTTTAAGTCAAAAGAAGCTGAGAAAGTTTGCACATGTGCAGAAGACGCTGGATATGCCATGCAAAGGATGTTGCATAGAGCGAGGAGGAACAGAGGAAAGGCAAACAAATGAACCAGATGATCCACTGTGGCGCCCCCTAGAGGGAGAAACTCAAGGAAGATGACAAATAAGATGCATCTTTTAGGATTTTTGTGTAACTCTACACTGGACCAAAAAACAAATTAAAGCAGCAGTTCCTATGTCTGTCAGGGAATTACTAAAAATTGAAAGGAATGTAAAAAAAAAAAAAAAAGACCTTGACTGTCTCTATGATTTACAGTTTCACACTACTTTCTGATGCAGTAGTTGCTCCTGCACTTCCCGATTTCAAGTTAAAATGCACCCAAGAGGGCGTCTTTACTTCACGACTGCCTGCACAACAGAGAACTGGCTGCCGTGAAAATCTTCCAGACTTGGAAAGACTTCAGACTTCCCGGATCAATGATTCTCTTTCAGCACCTACAACAGCAGCAGCAGCAGAAGAGAGCAGACTTGAGATCAGCTAATCACTACTCTGCACCAAGCTGGGTAGTTCGGTCATGAATATCGAGCAGCGTTTAGTTGCTTCTGACCCCGTGGTTCAGAGCCGTGAGGCGTGTTTGTTTCTCGGCCTGGACTGTAAATACGGCTCCAGAGCCGATGACGCTGGAATCAGAAGATAAGCAGGCTGTGATGTTCCACCGCCGGGGGTTTTATCAGGGCGGAGACAGCGACGAGAAGAAAATAACACGCTACATTTGATGTCCGCCGTGCAGACACTTGAGGACACTTGACATGGTTCACCACGCTGGAGTTGGAGTCTAGCAGAGTTTCTGAGGCAAAACGTGTCCAGGTTTATCCAGGAAAAAAAATTCTGATGTTTTGTAAAACATCTCAAATCTGTTTTTTTTTTTTTTTTAAAGATTTACATGAAGACATGGAGAGTAAATAATAATAATAAAAAATGCATTTACTTTTTTACATTTTCCAATTATTGAAGAAAAAAAAAGTATTACATTCATTGTCGACTTAGTGAAATAAAACTACTTCGGTCCAGATAATTACTTCAAAACTAAATAATAACGTTTTGATGAAGTTAACTATTGCTACTTTTGAAATTATACTGTTGTACAAATGTATTATATTGTAAGTACTGCATTTCTTTGAGAAGTTATGAGTCTTTTTACACAAGTTACTGAAAAATCTGCTTTCTACTCTCATAGCCTGAAATCTTATTCACCATATTGCATTGTAGCATTTACAGATTATGTTGGAATAACATAATCTGTTTGTGAAACAAACTACCAAACCTTTATCAATGCAAGTACAAAATCACATTGTCAGGTAAATACTTTAGTTTGTTTTTTTTTCAGTGGGAACAAACCTCAGTTCAGTTTAAGATCTCTGATCAGCCTGTCATGTGTCGGACAAGCATTTAGAGCTCTACTAACTGGAAACTTTAAAAAATTCGAAGCTGTTCTGATTAATAGACTTATTACTGGAGCATGTTTGCTCTCTGTTCTATCACAGCCTTCATCTTTTCCTGCTTTTACTTCACAAAACGGCGGTGCTGACCCTGCGCTGCGGTCAGAGGCCGAATGCTTTCAATACAGCACAAATCCTAATTAGTTTGGCTTCTGGAACATTCAATTACCAGCAAACTGAGCACGTTGAGTCAACGAGGTTCAGCCAGTGCACTGTGAAGACGAAGGTCGTCAACTCCATTCATTTATGCATTCAGCTAGTTTTCATTAAGGGAGCCGCAGCACACCTGAACTCATATGTTGCGAACGACTTTTTAGGTCGCGGATGGAAAAGATTTCACAATGAAGTGGATATTTTAGCGCCGCTTTCTTATTTCACAGTGCGCATTGTTTTCTTTTTAAATTACTGTGAAGAGAGAGAAACTTTGAGAACCAAACAAAGCTATTGTTTTTTTTTTATTTTTGGTAACTGCTTCAGAATAACCTCTCAGTGCATTTCAGGCTTCAAGATGTCTCCTTCTGAAGAGAGTAACAGAGTCTCGTTGGCAGAAATGTGAAACGTCTAACTTTGATAGTCGATGAATATGAGTGCATCTGCTCTCTTTTTTTAAAAATAATTATCCAACAACCTTAAGGCTAAAATAAAGAGTAAATGCTGCAAATATTGACTAAATATTGAAATAAATCCATGGCAGTAACTTATTTGCTAACTAAATCCTTTAAAACTTCAAAAGTATTAAGATTGCTCTTTCAAATATGTACGTATATCTGATATATATATATATATATATATATAATATATATATATATATATATATATATATATATATATATATATATAAACACCTGCCTCTGTCTTGTTTGAATTTAATTTTTTTTATTCCTTTGGTTAAAAAAAATCTGAAACCAGAGACTGTTCCAGCAAGTGCTCCTTCAAGACAAAGTGAATTTAAAACAAAAGAAAAAAAAAACTTTTGTAGTTTCTAACATTACAAAAACGCTCAGCAGTCCTCCTCCTCCTCTCCCTCCTCCTCAATTTTCCACCTCCCTGAATCTCCAAGTTTCTGATATTCAACGCAGCAGGTTTCACTTGTGTGAGCTGTCTTTAAAAGAACAGGCTCACATGTTTTTCAGAACTTTTGTCTCCTCTCTGATATCCAGCTTTATAATGAGCACCAACGGAGCACCAACTATGAAACTACGTCTTCAGAACAGCAATTCAATACAGGAAAAAAAATACAATAAATTAAACTAACAGAGATTTGGGATTTGATTACTTTGTTTGCAGTTCTTTCATTTTACTTCTTAAACCTCTCAAGCAAATCACAGACCCCTCAAATTTCTTTTGTTGGTATATTTTGCATATATAATGTAATTTATAAAACATGACCGTAGAAGAAAAATAAGCCGTGTAATTTTAAAAAAGACAGCAGGATGCAGCTTTTATCCGGAGAGAATAATCTAGTGGCAGATCGATCCACGTTTCAATGATCCACATAAACATTCAGAAAAGTCATAATGAACCTCAACCAAAGAAAAACATCAGAAAGAACTGCGACAATCCTGCTCTTGGTCTCCAAAAAAATATTATTTTCTCTTTCAGCACAAACTCTGCAGAAATCTTTTCTGAAATGTTGTGGGAATTACTACTAAATTTACCACAGAAGCCAGGTGACTCACTTCAGTAAACAGCTGACGAGCCACTTCCCTCAGACAGGGAAACTTCAGGATGACCAATTCCTACCATCCACCTGCAAAGCTGGCCAGATCAGAGAGGATATGGAGCAACTTCCTGTTTTCAACATAAGACATTCAAGACCAATTTATACGCACAGCAGAGAAATCCAATTCAACCACACACTTCTACAACAAGCTTCTGGCATCATTCTTGGTGGATATTTGGCCAATTTCCTACATCGAAGAGGTAAAGTTAGCTCAAAGTAGTTGGTTTCCTGTTTTTAAAACCGGTTCACAAATGTTCAACAGGATTTCGGGTGGACCCATTTTGAAGCTTAATCTCATTGGGGTTTACCGTGTACAAAAGCAGTTTGGATGTATGTTTGGCGTTTAACTTGTTCAAAACACTTCATGTTCCAACCATCTTGCTGTGGATTTGAGCTGAAGTTGAAAAATTTGGATACAGTGAGTTTTTATTACAATGAAGCCCTGCTATTCACTGGGGTTACAGACTTAAAGATAAAATCTGTGAGTACTCTATATCCCCCTAAAAAATCCTTTTAATTGCCAATTTTAGTGGTTCAAAGCCAAACACATATGAATAGACACAGGGGAAACCGAATTAAAGGCACTCCAGGGTTGGTCTGCTTTGCGAACGCCTGCCACTAGCGTGTTAAGTAGCATTTATGTTCCAGAAAAAAATCTAGGTGAGTATTAAACCGCAAAAAGCTATGCAACGCATCTGTGCAAGTGGTAGTAAAACCGACTGACTGCATGATGGTGCCACAATAATGGTGTTAGCAGTTCCTCTTTGACTCTTCTTCTCTTGCCTGACCCATCTGATCATCAAACTTTTGCCCAAAATTCGGTTGACTGTTCCTTGTGGGGAGCTGGAGCTTCCAGAACAACTTGAAGATGTCGGTCTTCAAGCTCTTGGTTATTTCTTGGTCAGCATTCCCTCCGATTGTGGTGGTATGAAAATGTATTCACTGCGGACAGTGACATTGGTGTTCCTGCAGTCTCCATTTATAGCTGAGTTGAGCCCTGTTTGGCTGGTCTTGTTTCCCCTCTGAAATATTCTGCGTTTACTAGATACAGGTATATGTTTTGACCAACGCGGTGAAAAAATGTGAATAACCTGTAAACAACCTGAAGTTGTTTACAAGAGCTTTTACCAAGTGGTACAAATCTACTAGAAATATTTTCAGGTTTGGACCACGCAATTATTTCAAAAATTGGTCAGTCACATAATAAGCGCCACATAAGAAATACTTCTAATCTTGCATAAATGAGCTCTCATTTGAACGCTCAATAACCAGAAGGTAACATCCTCTGATATTGAAAGGTCAAAATTCTGCTCAGTAACACACAACAAATTAGAGCAAATGCATATATTCAACTCTATTGTTCCAAACATCTTTGCAGTTGTAGGTTGTATCATGACCCAAATTAAAAGACCAAATTCATACGATGAGCAGACTGAAACCTCTGATAACTCTAGCTAATAAAACATGTTTCTGCCAATTTGCTACCCACACAAACCAGCAGGTTCGCTTTATTAAAACATTTATTCCACTCAACTCGATTTGAGTCACTTAGGAGTAAATGAGCTCTAAGAGCAGGATACCCTCACATTGTTTTGCACATCAGGAAGTTATTTCTTAAATACTCTTTTCAAGCAGTATCTTCGTGGCCGTTTTGCTTACTGTTAGATTGCATGCCTAAACAGAGATTGAAGGACACCAAATTAGCAGCTCAGAACTTTTCCTCACAGTCTCTACAATATCTGCAAATTGAAAATCCTCAAAAAACTGAATTATTAAAACCTGTAACACGTATGATGTAGCTTTCACCGCTGTACCAAACCTAAAGTCCCAACCCAGAAAAAAAGAAATAAAAATGACAACTGAATTCAAATCTCATTCACAATGAAATTAATCTGATTATGTAAGACAAAATATTGTAGTAATAATTTCCAAATTGCTCTTCAAAGGGACACTTTGATAAATTATTTCAAGCTCCCTCTCAAGGATCTGCTTTGTCTCCAGATAAGCCAATCAGGTCACCCCCATCTTCCAAAAAACAAATCACCATTTTTAATCTTCTCTTATGAGAATCTCCACACCAACTCACTAACTTTACTGTTTTTGGACATTAAATAAGGCTGCTATTTACCCTCAAATGTTCAGTTTTGATGGGGCAGAAATGTCAGGCTCTGCTAATGATGTTCCAAATGTCATTATGAGCTGCAGACAGAGGCACAGAGCCGACATGCTGTTGTTCTGCAAATGATGGGTTTCCTTGAGAGGCTTACAAGACATAGACATATCTTTAGAAATTTGTCTGCTGTACGTGAAAGGAATGTGTTTTGCTCTGTCATGAAATATTTTTTGTCTTTAATGTATGCATTACATAACACATAACTTTAGTCCTCAATGCGGCCGTCACAGGTTCGATTCCCGGCCTGGTGACCTTTGCTGCATGTCTTCCCCGTCTCTCATTACCCACTTTCCTGTCATAGCACTTTCAAATAAAAGCCACTAAAGCCCAAAAAAATACCTTGAAAAAGTAAAAAAATATGCCTGAAAAATAAATATTATCAAGCAAATATCCAGTGAGCAGCTTAAGCTCGACAGATGTGACCTCTGTGACCTCTGATCCCTGAGACAGGGCATCAACAAACTCCATTCACTGTAACCGAACAACGTTCAATACCAGAGATCTGCTCTTGTGAATATTTAAGACCTAAAAACTATTAAGAAAAAATCTGGAGATTGAAGATGTTTTTTCAGATTTTTTTTTTTTTTTTTTTTTTTGCATTTACATCTAAATAATTCATGTTTACAGGAGTTGCAGACAGAAGCCAGCAGCACGAGATGTGGTTCACCTCAGGGTGAGCCGCTCAGAAAACAGAAAAAAGAGAAGTGCACGTTGTTGTTCGTGTGCGCATGTTACCGTATGGCGTGGTCCATGCGTGACACGGTCAGGTACGCTGCCAAGTTGGCCGTGTACGACGAACACACGATGAGCGTGAAGAGCCACCAGCTGCCCATGACGATCCGCAGCGCCACCGAGCCGACCATGCCGTCACCTCCTGCAAAGAGACGCGCGGCACACGGGGGTCACAGGTCACAATCTGAACACAGGTACCTGTGAGAGGTTTCAGGGCGAAGACACGCCGAGCATCAAGTGGAAGGTGACACAGGTGTTCGGGGGAAACGAGGCGCAGGTACCAGGCCGGCCACCTCTCAGTGACCGCAAAGGTCGAACAGAGAGAGGTGCTTTATCACTGCAAGCACAGAGCTGGAGACTAATCACAGCTGTTGGTTCAAAAGGTTTCCCAGGCAACCTGCCAGACCATAATAGATGCTTCCGGGAGCCTCTGCTGTGAGATTCTGTGAGTGTGTGTTTGTGTGTGTGTGTGTGTGTGAGTGTCTTCCAGCTTATGGATGTGTCTCCAAATGTGTGGTTTGTTTCTGCCTCTGAGTGTCGGTCAGTTGCTGGGCTGATATTTCTATCTCTGTGGGGACACTTCAGCTGAGAAATGTGAAGCTGGGACTTGGAGGGAGGGGGACAAAACAGAATTCAAAATCTATTTTGAGAATGTGACAAGAAGGCTGACTTGTAAAAAGCAGATGCCTTGTAAAATAGTTTGTAAAGTTATTTTGCTGTTTCCATACAAAGAGACAATTTATACCCAATAAAACTCAAATGTGAAAGAGAAATTCAAAGGGAAATCTCGGAAAGTGCAAAATGCAAAACACATTTCGGCTCCCCAAACTTCAGATGTTTTCAGTACAATATTGTACCATATTTGAAAAGGGCGTAAATTAGAGCACAAACTGGTGCTGGAGAGAGAGAAAGGGTTAATGCCAATCACATGCATGTCTTTTAGTCATGTGAGAAATTCTCACCATTCTGGCTAGAATTCACTGGACTAACATATTGACTTCTGAAAGCGAAAGTTTCCAGATATCCACAAGTCTTTTTGAGTGGGTCTGATTCTAGGAAGGTGTGATCAACAATAGGACGTCTATATCTTTAGGATTATGATTGCAGCTGTAAGGAAAGTTATCACAAAGAACTGAAAAGAGAGACTGAATATAAAACAATGACCGGAAGAGATTTATAACACGAAGTCACTGACATTTATTCCAGATTTTTGAAGCAAATCTGTGACACACCGAAGCTTTTAATACCTTACAGTGTGTATAGAATAAAGTTAGCTACATTTCCCTGTGCAAAATCTGTGTTCTTGTGTCTCCACGTAAAAATATGTTGTAAATTGCTTATGGATATCTGCCAATGCTGTTCCACTGCTTCTTTCTTTCTTTCTTTCTTTCTTTCTTTCTTTCTTTCTTTCTTTCTTTCTTTCTTTCTTTCTTTCTTTCTTTCTTTCTTTCTTTCTTTCTTTCTTTCTTTCTTTCTTTCTTTCTTTCTTTCTTTCTTTCTTTCTTTCTTTCATTCTTTTTCTTTCTTTCTTTCTTTCTTTCTTTCTTTCTTTCTTTCTTGTATATTCGAATGGAAACAAGTGTCAAGTATAAACAAATACCAAACACTAACCTTCACTAGCTCATAACAAGTAGCCAGAAGGGTCTTTAAGAACATAAAACAACTTAACGACACCAAAACATCTTAGTGAGTTAGTTTGAAAGTTTAAAACAAGTATTTCTGTCCTTTAACTAACAATGGGAACTTCATGCTCACCTTGCTGAACAAATGCACCATAAACAATCCAGATGGCGCTGTGCAGCGTGCCCGAGCCCACTCCGTTGGACAGATGGCCCGGCGGTGCATTCTGGGAGGACGAGGAGGAGCGCAGAGCTTGCAACCTGTTGAGCAGGAAGATGAGCACTCCCACCACCGGGATGGCGGCTGCAATGCAGGCCCACACGGCCAGGTCGAATGGCGCAAACAGGGAGAAGATGTTGATCTTCTCTTCGGGTTTTCGCAGCAGGATGCCGACGCTGTAGTCAAGGTAGCGCTTGCTGAAGTCCACCACGTTCTCCCTCTCCGGTGTGATGGTAATGGCTGACACGGCGAGGTCGGCTCTCTGCAGGTTAGAGAGACGGCAATGGGACAAAGAAGGACATCAAACAACTACGTCTGCTTCAAAATAAGGTGGCTTAACAATGGGAAAGTTGTTAGGTGAATTTAATCCACCACATTGTGTGTGTTTATTTTAGAGTTTTGTTTTACCTTGTTGATGAGATCCCCAATCATCCCATTCCAGGAGCCATTGGGAAGCTGAGAGCCGTATTTGCTGTCTGTGACCTGAGTAAAATAATAATCCAAAATTGTTTTGATTTTTTAACATTTTTTTTATTTCAGTAAAACCCTTAGCACAATGTCACCAGGTGACTCTGAACCCACCCAGTCATTGAATAAATGCTTACAACAGATAAATGTGTGGATGTGCCAAAACTTTCTCCAACTGAACAAAAACAAAACTGAAGTCATTATTTTTGAACATAAAGAGGAACGATCTAGAGTCAATGCACAGCTTCAGTTATTACAACTAAAACCCAGAGATCAGGCCTGAAACCTGATCTCTCTGATGGACTCTGACCTGAACATTCAGGGCCACATAAAGACGATTACAAAGTCGGCCTTCTATCACCTGAAGAACATCTCCAGGATTAGAGGACTAATGTCTCAGCCAGATCTAGAGAAACTCATTCATGCGTTTATCTTTAGTCGCATTGATTATTGTAACAGCGTCTTCACAGGCCTGTCCAACAAATCTATCAAACAGCTGCAGCTGATCCAGAATGTTGCTGCTCGTGTTCTCACTAAAACCAGGAAGATAGAGCACATAACACCAATTTTACAGTCCCTCCGCTGGCTCCCTGTAGCTCAAAGAATAGCCTTTAAAATACTGTTTATAAATCACTGAACGGCACCACAATACATTAAATATCTGCTGTTGTTGTATCAACCTTCCAGACCCCTCGGGTTTTCTGGTTCTGCTCTGCATCCCCAGAACCAGAACCAAATGAGGAGAAGCAGCTTTCAGATTCTAAGCACCATAAATCTGGAACAAACTTCCAGAAAGCTGCAAAACAGCTGAAACACTGACTTCCTTTAAATCTGGACTAAAAACCCACCTGTTAAGAGTTGGATTTGAAACGTAATCAATTACAAATTTAATGATGGAACTTGACATAATGTCATGTATTGATTGTTGATTCTATGTTGCATGACTTTGTGTTTTTGTGTTTGTTATGATGAAATGCCTTGCTGCTGAAATGTGCTACACAAATAAAATTTGATGGATTGATTAATAGCCAAATAATTTATAAAGAGCTGAGGAGAAAGAAAGGAAGAGACTAACCAACCAACTAATGAACCAACAATCAAGCCAAGCCACCAAACAATGAGACAATGGGATGTGGCTGGAAATTTAAATATTTAAATATTTCCCAATCATTATCCATCCATCCTTTTTTTGAATGAAACTAAAGACCGACTTTTCCAGACTGCTCTGGAACCCCATGATACATGTAAACATTTATTTATATTTATGAAATGGTTTACCATATTTGTGTACAGACACTTTTGAAAATCAGTCCTTTTAAACCCGGCATCGTGTTTACAATTTTGTCTCTTTGCGTATCACGTACACAAAAAACAAACTAATGCAGGGAGTTGTTGTTTACCACTTTGTCCAACAGCCTTTTTCTTGACCTGGTGGGCATTAAAGTGGCTTGAAAACTCAGAGGAAATTGAAACACCAATTTAGTCTTAATACAAAATGTGGTCTTGAAGGAAAAAAAGACAGTTTGCTTTCATATTTCCCTGGAGGTCCTTTCACTCTGATTTCTCTTAAATTATTTTTGCATAAAGGAGAGGAAATTTCCCCCCTCCTTACTTTTAACTAAAACCTGAGAAGATTTATGAATGTTTTTAGGCAATCTCAACTTGCTTGAACTTGTCGTTCTCTTTTTATTTCTTAAAATTACTTTGTAATACAAAATATTAATGGCTGGCTTTGGGAAAAAGCCATTTTTTCCTCCCTTCTCTCCCTTTACCAGTCTAGTTAAATAGTCTCACTAATGCAAGTTCTGCATTTGCACATTTTAAACGTGTGAAAAAGCTAATAGTCACTTTACGTCTGACTTATAAAACATTCAACTTTAGCAGAAAATAGCTGAGTGTGAAGCTCGGTCTGACCTGGTAGATCTCATATTTAAAGCCCAGGATCTTTGCGAGGGCGTCCAGGACGTCGATGGAGAATCCCTTATATCTCTTGGGCTGCCCGAGGATGTTTTCTGCCACCATGACGAAAGGATCCTCCTGCGGGAAGCCAGTCGGAGAAAGGAGGGGGTGTTAGAGAGGATAAAAGTCGCAGCATGAGGGAGGCTTCGGCTTCACAGTAAGAGTAACTTCTGTCAGACTGAAGGGAAAACGTGATGGCTACTCTAAGGTCGGCGTGTCAGAGGCGGTGTGTGCCACCGCGGCAATTGTGTTTGTGTTTCGGCTCGGCAGCACTGACACCTGGAGCTGCTGCAGCTGCTAAGGTGAGTGACATGCAGTCATGGTCTCAAAGTTCTGGAACAATATTTTATAATAATCTATAGCCTCTTGTAAAACAAACACTGTTTCACGTATGAGTTGATATGAGCACAAACTTGCCATATCAACCAGTCAACATGGTGGTGAAACCCTGGTGATTTAAGACTTGTTCTCCTGATACAGAACCTTGCGACATTTCAGTTCATTTATTTAATTAAACAGTGTAATATCCCACTGAAAATAATTAAGATGTTATTACTATGGTGACCAAGTCAACATCACAACATGTCATGATGACTGCAAGCACATACAAGAGATAAACAACAAGATAAAGCCACAGGTCAATAACTTGGTATGCCAGATGGTTTACAGTGAGACAGAAAACCACCGGTGAGAGTTATTGCTGCTTATTGAATCACGGTGGACAAATGTTACAATATTTGTTTTCTTACTTTCCAAACAAAACAGAGCCAGCATAAGATCAAGTCAACGTCACACACACAGACATGACTTACCAACAGAGTGACCACTTTAACCGTCATCCCTTGCATCCCGTTCTCGATGCGACTCTCCTTCAGGCTGCCGTTCAGCCCGTGAACAGAGTCCCACGTCGCCAGCTGCAGAGAGGACGGAGAGAAAACAGCTTGTAAACAAAAAAGCATGCGGTTCTCGGGCATCGGCGACATCCTGCTCGGTCTAATCATGTCATTTGTTTAAGTGTCAGGGGCCCTCGGAGTTAAGAGACTGCACCGTGCAACCATCAATTACAGAACACGGCGCACAGGCTGCAATTTGACCATTTATTCACTTATCTCATTGGCTTTCATGTGGCACAGAGCTCTGCTGAGAGTCGGAGACAAAACGCGGGAAATAAGGCCAAAAAACATCAAGAGACATCCGCGCAATGTGCCAACAACCCACTCTGCTGTTCTCCCATCAAACACAGTCATGCACCAAGCAAACCTGACCTAGTTAGGTCTTATATATCCACTGGCCTGTTCAACCACCTAATCAGGGGAAAAAGCACAGCGTTAGGCTTTATTGAGTCCTGTCTGTGGAAAAAAAAAATAAAAATGTGTCTTTCTGCAACTATAAGTGAAAAAAAAAATTTTTTTCATCTTTGGCAAATTGTGCTGTGAGTTTTCTCTGAAGGTCTCGACTACAAACTAAAAAAAAAACAACAATAAAAAAAACCAACAATACCTGTGGAGTGAAAAAAAATCCATATGGGTTGATTAAATTGCATGATAAGTGAATTATAATTACAGAACAAATATTTAAAAATTACCACCAATATCCTGACTGTGAAGAAGCCATAACGGTGCTGCTGATGTTGCTAACGCTCCTGATTCAGCACGTTGATGCTTAGCAGCCTGTTTCAACCAGATCCTCTCCATTAAGAGTCGACCGGTTCACTCTACACAGCAGAACCGTGGATGGTTTTGTTTGTGTCACTATTTATGTGTCTTCTGATAAAAAGACCATCTGAAAAAGATCTCAGTAAGTATGGAAACATACAAAATCAGCTACTTTATTTCTTCTTTTTTCTCCCGAGTGAGGAATCAGAGGGTTTGTTTCTAAATTAAACGTTCCACAGGGAGCTCTCACACAGGTTTATTGATTTGCCAGGACGCACACTGACGCATGCCGCTTCTCCGTTTATCCTCACCGCATCCATCTAGGGTTAATACGTGGTGAGAGCTCTGCTGTCTTTTCTTTTTTTTTTTTTTTTGTTCCAAGACATAAAACACCTGGTCAAGTATATGTTGTTGTTTTGTTTTTTATATGTGGTGCAGTTTTAATAAATCATTTCAGCCAAAGAAATTCCAAATAGCAATAACATCATTTAGGAGAAAACAAACATGGTTTATGAAATCATTCTAATTCACACAAACTACAACCGTTGATAGCATGTTTCAATCAGTTTAATTTTCAAAACTGAATAAGTTAAAGACAATGCAGTAGCCGAAAGTAGCACAGCTAGTTGATAGGTTTAGAGACAACTTCAATAATTGGGTTAAGTTTAGAGTCGGGGGGTTAGATATTTGAATCCCTGATGAAATGAAAACATTGTATTTACTCTGGGTTTTTTGTCTGATATTATTATTATTATTTTTTTTTTTGTGATCTGAAACATCAACCATAATAAAGAAGGAAAGAAAACAGAGGGAAGAGGCAATATGTTTTTACAGGACTGTATCCAACAATAGGCAAATGCTTTAAACTTCCAGGATAAGGCCTTTTCTCCCTTGCTTGTTTTCCACAAAGAGGCACGGCATCGAGACGGTGGATGAAACCAGAGCAGACCTTTCAAGGATGCTGAGGTAACAGAGAAGCAGCAAGAGTGATGGACACGATCAGAGGGAGAACTGGAAGGAAGAAACGAGGAGTGCCTCCTTATTATACTAAGAGCTATTCTCAGCACTGCTGTCCTCCGCGTGATCTCCATCCATCCCTCTTCTTCTTGTGCGCGAGAAAGTGGAGGGTGTTCCTCATTAACACGGATAATTTATCTTCTCCGTTTAAAGCTGCGATTCCATCCAAGTATTCCCCTCCGTCCAATCTAAACTGTAAAACCATTACGTCCGCCGCTGAAGTCAGAAGTGGATAAAATACCATCAACTGAAAGTGAAGTTGGTATGAGAGACGCCAGTGGGACATCTGTTGACAGGACGACGGAGATGCAGGTTTCATACATTTGTCTAACTTTTATCTAATAAAAGTTTTATTAAAATAAAAGTTACAATATCTTGCAAAGCACACAAATGTTGCAGCATTTGATTTATTTGTGTTTAGGTTTTTGTGTAAAACTGCTTCCTTACAAGCTTTGAGACATGAAGTGAGCCATTCAGAAACTGATTTTCTGCCTGTTGTTATTCTTTGTTATTACACAATCTATTTTCAATGTGGACAGACAGCTCTACAATGCTCTCCAATCCAACTTCTTCACCAGGCTAGACCAGGAAATTTTTTTTATTTCTGACAGTATTTGTCTGTTTATCACTTGTTGTCATTCCCACAAAACTTGTCAAGATTCTAGAACTTCTGCTCCCCAAAGACAAGACCACAAAAACCCTTTTGTGCCCAATTAAACTACCTGGTCAGTAACTCAAAAATCCCAGATCAGTGTCATTTCGGTGACGAAGAGGCTCAAACAACACCAACGTGACAGTCACAACCACGTAGTACAATGAAACCGCGATTTATGACTCTTATAATAAAAATGTCTTGTTCTGTGCGGACTCATCAACTGAAAATTTTATGTTGTTCTGGTTTAGGCTTCGGAGGAAAATAAAATGTTCCTGTCTGCAGCCAACAGATAGGGGCTGTGAGTATGCTCTCTGCACTTTATCCCTCAGGACGTCTGGATGTGAACACACTTGCTTACACGGCCACTCTCTCTCTCTGTCTATCTCTCGCTGGTCTTCATTGTCCAACACGCCTCGCTTTATTTACGGAGCCAGTCAGGAGGTCAGCTGAGGCTAAGAGCTTAAATGGACTCTTTAAAGCTAAAAGAGGGCATCGCCGAACGGAGCACTCAGACCCAAACCTGTCTACTTTTTGGGCTCCTACAGGTCTGAACAAATATGATTAATGTAGCACTTTGCTGCTGAACAGGTTCTGGTATTGTTTTGTCACCTCAGCCCAGTATGTGTAAATCTTTTCTTGATATATTTTCCAACACCCGCTGAACTAAGCGAAAGTGAATCAAAGAAAATCAATACGGGAGCTTAAAAATATGTATAAAATTGAAATCTGGCCTCCCACAGCAACATAATTTGCAACAAGTTCAAGAAGAACTTCAGAATGTTCAGATTGTTGGAAACAAAAATAATAAAGGTAAAAAAGCCAAAAATGAACAGAGATTAATTTCAAACATTTTCAATTCAAGCTATGAAATATTTTTAGTGGATGTTGCACAGTTGAAACATTTAGTGATTGTATTAAAACTTTTACATTAAACTACATTTGCTGACAGGCTAGCTAGGCAGACAGGCAGCAAGTCTGATAAAAAAATGAACTCCAAGATTTTTTGGCTGAAGGCAGACTTTTCACACAACTGTCATATTACTGGTGTTAATCCGCGTCTTAATCGTGTCTCAGGGCGAGAGAGAAAAGGCCATGAACTCTTGCTCAATTGTCCAAAATCCTGTTTTCACAAAGAAATTAATTTAACATTTCCTTCTTAAAATTAAGGCGTTGTAGCCTGGGGAAAGTGAAGTGGCAAGGCAGACAAGCCAAACTCTTTCAGGTCCAGTGTGAAGTTTAGGGAGCCATGTCATTTACCTGCTGCTGTCGGCCCACCGCGTCTTATCAATTCAAAAACCCGTACAGCTGTCTACCGGGTAATTTTAGAGCACTTCCCTCAGCTAACAAGTTTATGGTGATGCTGATTTCTTGTCCTGCAGGACACCACACCTGCCTACACATCCAAAAGAACCAATACCTCCTTTAATGACCATGGCATCACTATGCTGGACTGGCCAGAAAGACTCTCAGAGAGAATCAATAGGGTATAGTCAGGAGGGAGGGGATAACAGACACCAGAGCCAACAATGCAGATGAGCTGAAGGCTGGCATTAAAGCAACCTGGGCGTTTTAACACCTCAGCTGAAGCACAGGCTGATCTCCTCCATGCTGCTGCGACGATGCTGCATGTAAAACCAAGCAACTGAGGTATACATGGCGATACATTACAAATTTAAACAATAATGTCTGAATTTCACTAGCTGTGAATTAACGATCATTCTTTACGATTTCATTTTTTTGATTTGAAACGGACATTTTATTGACATTTTCTAACTTGCTGATATGAACCGACATGCTTCAGGGTCGACGCGTGGAGCTTCGACGGCGTCCTTTAAAAATACTGAAAACGTCAAAAGAGTTTCAATCTTTAAAAGAATAACTTGGCTTACGGAAAATAGATGAGAGTTTTCATCTGCTTTTTCAGTAACAAGCTCAAATCAGCTGAAGCCTCACCGGCTCCTTCTCGTCATGTCGCACCGATCTCCCCTCAAGAGGTCAAACACGAGGATAAATCTCCACCTCGCTCATGCATTATTCCCGATTCCCCCCTTTTCACTCAAATGTCAGGCCTTTCCTCTCCCCTCCTGTCATCCAAACGGACGACCTGGTTGTATTTCTGTAACTCGCTCTTTTACCCATGGACAGCAGAGGGAAATGCCAGCAATTGGCACCGTTTCTCACCTCACCCCGCTCGGCCCCACACACCTCGGGTCCTCCCCCACCTTTTCTTTTGGCTTCCACACTTTCACCTCCTCTTCATCCTTCCCTTTGATTGGTGATTTAAAATGACTTTTTAGAGGGTGTGAGTTACAGCTCAGAGCCCTCGTGTCTCGGCTGTCGCTGCAGTAGATTTGTCCCAGAGATCACCTGTCAGTCCGACAGCGTGGGCTGCGTCTGTAATGCTTCTTCTGACAGAGCGAGGCTTGCCATGTGCAGAAGCCATCTCTTTGTGCTTTATGCGGCGCTGAACACTTATTTACCTGGCAAATAACTTACAGAGTGACTTGAGCCGATGGAGTTAAAGCGTCTAGGCTTTTGCGCCCCCTTTTAATTATCTTGCAGTGAAGAACGATACTCTTAGCGAGAA